CCCAGGAGGTGGAGGTTGCGGTGAGCTGAGATCGCTCCACTGCACTCTAGCCTGGTGACAGAGTGAGACTCCGTCTCAAAAAAAAAAAAAAAAAAAAAAAAGTGGCTGTGGGCGTGTAAAGAAACATAAAAATCACAGGATGCCCAAACTTCTTACGCCAAAGGGAAGGTTAAGCCTGGAGTCTGGGTCATGCAACACCGCGTCCGTATGGACAGCTGTCACTAGCAGGATGCATCAGCCAGGTCCCCACAGAAAGGTGGAGGCCACAGCCATCTCCAAGGGCCCCCACAGATCTTTCATCAGTACATTCTTTGCTGGTCTCCCGTAAACAAGGACATGCCAATCATAACTTTAGGTGTGCAATCTAAGTCCAGCTCCTAAAACGAGAGTCTGTTCCATTCCATGCTGATAATGTCCTCTACAAGCTTGTCCTCCCAGTGGCAGGCCAAAGACAAGACGAGATCAAGTGTTCCTCCACCTCCCCAGAGAAGTCTGCAAAATGGATTCTTCCTTTACTCCCTTTTCCTCTTCAAATATTTACCTTATGTGAAATGCAGATTTACTGGGTGCTAACTGAAGTCTCACAAGAATGTCACCATTCACCTTACCTCAATGTCTAAATACCAAACCTCTCGAAAGCCTCTTTAGAAAAACAGCCACAGATGTGTCTGCGGCTTGCATTTTTCCTGGACATGCCCTAAAGCTGGCAGAATAGACCTCGGTTGACTGAGATATTTGCCTCGATCGCCTCTTTCAGTTTCCAGGCCTGACCATTGTTAAGTGTGTCCCAGAGGGTGTCGGGGACCCATTCCAAAGATCAAGAAATTCTCAACTGGCAAGGGCTCCCCTGCCTTCCACCCTCCCCCACTGTCCTTCCCAGCAGCCCAGGGTGCCGCCCACCCTGACTGTCTCTGACGATGGCACATGCCCCTGCCCTTGCTCTCCGTGGGCTTTCCCAGCTGCCTGGGATGTGCCCTGCTGTGCCCCTGCATCCCACTTGCTGCCCAGGGATGGTGCTTCAGGGTGGCCTGTGACTGGCTCAGCAATGATGGACTCTCCTGGGAGGGTCAGGCCCTGGCGTCCTGCCCTGGGTGCCAGAGACACTGCCTGTGTTTAGCAGCTGGAGTTAAATTCCAGCTCCCAAGCGGCGTGACGGGGAACATGCTGCACTTGGCCACCGCTACAGGTGGCCCATGCCCCACATCATCCCCATGTCCGGAGCTCACAGGCCCACTTGGGAAGGGGCCAGCAACAAGAGCTGGCTTCAGAATGAGCAAGCAGCTCAGGACTGCATTCTCCAGAGGCCCTTGGATCTGTTCTCAGGGGCAGGGCACATTGGAACGTATGGGACAGGGAAGCCTGCGTGGTGGCAGTTAACCCAGACTCAGTGAGGGGCACCACCAGATTCCAAATGTACCATCGCTCCTCCCGACTCAGGCCCCTAGGGTATCCCAGCCAGGCCTTCAGTTCCCGCTTCCATCCTGGATGAGGTGTCATTCTGTGGGGCCACAGGGCATGTGGCCAGTGCAGTCACCAGGCACCTGTGCCCCGAAGGGTCACGTGGGTTCAGTGCCCCACCGTGGCGGTGTGGAGATTCTGAGAAGTGCTCTCTTTGCGTCTGTGGTTTGTAAGGGAAGTCCAGGGGACAAGGGAGCCGGCACCGAGGGACTGGAAACTTGGCTCTTATGTGATTCTGACTCCACCACCTCCCCAGGATAGACCTAGGTTGTGTTCCCACCCTGGGAAGTGACCTGCCTACGGCCTGTGGTCTCTGGTGGCCCTGACAGCTGCCCCTGCCTTGGCAGCCAGTGCTACAGCCTCTTCTACTGCCCTCCAGGGACCTGGGGTGTCCTGTGCGGAGACTGTGGGTCAATGCAGAGCCTTGGGAAGGGAGGTGGCCTAGTGCATCGGAGCCCCGTGGGGGACAGCCTGAAAGGGACACAGTGCCGTCGCACCTGCTTCTCACCTGGCCCAGCTGTGCTTTGCTGAGCCGAGACTGGAGTGGTCCTGAGGCCATTTAACAGAGTGGTTTTTATGTCTGTTGAATTGAATGATAAAAAATCAGGGCTCATTTTTTTTCAGTTCATAGTTTATCAAGCAACTTAGTTTTCTTGGATTTTACAAGCTGGTGATAGGAAGGCTGGCTCTGGTCTGACTGAGACGCACAGTACAGGAGCCACCAGGCACCTGTACTCCCAGCAGCTCTTGGACTCTGAGGTGCATTCACTGAAGTGAGCTTCCAGGAGTAGTTTTTCCTGCCTACAGACAGGCTGGAGAGCTGGAGTCCCACCTTGAGCTCTTTCACTGGCCCTGTCGCCAGCTTGTGTTTCCATCATCTGGCATTTTTCATCAACATGAATAGGAGAGTCTTAGTGATGTGCAGTAAGTGCACACGTGCGTGATGGGCAGAGCCACGCCTCCACACGATGGCAGAATTGCAGCCTCACGGTGGCAGGTGTCGTGTGAGGCAGAGCCATATCCACCGACTGGCAGCAGATTTGCCGTGTGTACCAGGCAGAGCCATATCCACGCGATGGCGGTGCCGTCAGCCAGGCAGAATACGCGCCACTCTGGTGGCAGGTGCACGTCGCGTGTTGGGCGAAATTCCACGCCTCCTGAATGGCAGGTGCCGCGTGCTGGCGGGCAAAGAATAACCTCCACGATGGCGGTGCGTGTAATGGGCGGAAACCCGCCCTACGATGGCAGGTCACACCGTGTGATGGGCAGAGCCACGCCTCCACACGATGGCAGGTGCACGTGTGACAGGCAGAGCCACGCCTCCTGCGGTGGCAGGTGCACACGTGCGTGATGGGCGAAGCCACGCCTCCACACGATGGCAGGTGCACGTGTAGCCAGGCAGAGCCTGCCTCCACCCCAGATGGCGTGCACGTGTGACAGGCAGAGCCACACCACTCCCTGCGATGGCAGGTGCACCTGCGTGCGTGATAGGCAGGGAGTACGCCACGATGGCAGGTGCGATGTGACCCAGGCAGGCCTCACCGGTGGCGGGTGCACACGTCGTGATGGCGAGCCGCCTCTACCGATGGCAGGTGCGTGTGGCCGGGCAGGCCACGCCTCCACCACGATGGCAGGTCACCGTGTGACAGGCAGAGCACGCCTCACACGGTGGCAGGTGCACACGTGCGTGATGAGCAGAGCCACGCCTCCACACAGTGGCAGGTGCACACGTGCGTGAGTGGGGCAGAGCCACGCCTCCACACGGTGGCAGGTGCACACGTGCGTGATGGGCAGAGCCACGCCTCCACGGTGGCAGGTGCACACGTGCGCGTAGGCAGGCCACGCCTCCACAGTGGCAGGTGCACACGTGCGTGGCGTCGAGCAGAGCCACGCCTCCACACGGTGGCAGGTGCACACGTGCGTGATGGGCAGAGCCACGCCTCCTGCAGTGGCAGGTGCCGCACGTGCGTGATAGGCAGAGCCACGCCTCACACGGTGGCGCCTCCACACGGTGGCAGGTGCACACGTGCGTGATGGGCAGAGCCACCCCTCCACATGATGGCAAGTGTGTGTGTGTCTCAGAGCTGGCTGGCTGCAGATGGAGAAGACCCCAGCTATGCTCAAATGAGGATGTATTTTTATATTGAAATCGTGTACTTTTTTCCTTAAAAGTCATAATGAAATCTTCCATTGATGAATCAAGGTGAATTTCCGCTAAATTGCTTTAAAAAAATAGCTGTGTGTATACTCTTCATTTTAAAAAACGGATCAACTCTCTATTTCCAAAGGCATTCTTGGGGTTTAGTTTAGAGGGTTCAGAAATGGGAAATTGCTTTTCCTTTGTGAGTTGTGGGAGATTTTCTTCCAGTACTTTAGTTCATTGAGATGGGGAAACAGCGATGGCCACCTCAAGGCTGCTGTGCTGAACACTGGCTGGTGGCTATGGGGTGAGGAGGGTCTGCTCCGGCCCACCCGTCCTGGGCCTCTGACTAGATGAGGCCTCAGAGGGCACAGTTCTGGGGAGGCAGGGGGCAGTGAACGCAAAGCATTTTGTTTATGGAAAAAGCCCTCTGTGCATTCTGTAATGATACTGTGCCATCTGCCTCGTCCCTCACTTGTTCACCCCATGGATACCAGGACGGCATACCCGGAGAGAAGAGGTGCCCTGTGGCAAGCACGGGGCTGGTGCCCGCCCTCAGGGATGGCAGCCGGCAGGGGCTCAGGGCGGCCCAGGCCACTGTGACACCAGCGGGAGAGGGCTGGACTGGTGCCTGGAGCCAGGTCAGGGAGAGAGGGAGAGGAGGAGGCTCCTAGGAACCTGTGTCCAGGTGGGGCAAGCACTCGGTGGGGGCCAGGAAAGGCCAGCGCACTGCGTGTGTGGGAAACACACTCCATCCATTTGGTGTTTAGGGAATTTCTTTTTTAGCAGAAAGTTTTTAAACGTATAAATAACTTGCCATTAAAAAGAGAGTGAGCCAATCGGGTGGGGCAGTGGCACGCAGAAGCCCCCACAGCCAGGTCTGCTGCTCCTGTGGGCTTCTCTGTAGAGCTTGGGCAGGAGGCCCCTGAGAACCGTGGGACACCCAGTGTGTTGTTTCTGACCTTTGCCCTGCTGCTGTGAGGGGTCCCCAGATGAACTCCCACAGCACTCCATCCGGAGAAAGCCCGCACCATGCACATCTGGACGGCCAGGGTTCTAAGAAGGGCGTTTGAAAGCCTGGACCCCACCATGCAGTTCCCAAGTGCAGCATCTTTCCCCACCGCCACTGGGTGTGACATCTCCTAGTCAAGGACAAATCCTAGGATATTCTTTAAACTGCGTGATTTAGAAAACATCCAGATGGCTGCTTACTGGGGCCTCAGCTTGGCCTTCTGTGCAAACAAGGGCCCCAGAGGTAGCCCCTTTCCTGCTGGAAATGGATTTTCAGTCGCAAAATCCTGAATGTCCAAACCTGAGAAAACCCAAAACACACAACACGATTTGGAAATTCCCTTTTGCAGCATCATGGAAATGTGAGCAGAAATCATCAACGTTCTCTGAGTGTTCTGAGATTTTTTTAACAAAAACATTTTATTTCAAAGGGCAGATAAGTATTTTGCTAGACACGACTGAAAAAAACGGCCAGAGAACAATTGGAGTTTGTCTTAATAAATAACAAAATGCCATTTATGTTTCTTAAACTTCATATGACACAATACACATCTTAAATAAATAACCCACTCTGTTGCTATGTATTAAAAACAGTCCCAGGTGTGGTGTGTCGTGGAGTGAAGCCAGTTGCTGGGCTTGGACCCGCCAATCCCAGTGCCGGTGGGGAGGCCGCTTCCCAGGCCTCTGCCATGCCCCTGTGCCCTGAGCTGAACAGCAGCACCGAGGCCTCGGAGGGCAGCAGGAATGCCAGGGGCTGGGATGACGATGACTTTGGGGCGCTCTGTGGCTGGCACACCTGGGTGCCTCCAAGTGGAGGTGCTTCCTGCCTCCTCACCCTTGGCTTCTCAACAATTAGTTTTCAGGTCAGTCTGGAACATCAGGGGTGCTAGAAAAGCCTCTGGGGTGATGTAGGTCTGAGCTCCGTCTTTGTTTCCGATCAGGTTGTCGGCCTTCCTGCTGTCATGTGGCGCTGGCTCTCTGCTTCTCTGCTGGCTGGTGCTGTCTGGTGGGCTCTGGTGTCCTGTTTTTCCACATGGTACATTCAGGTTCTCTGAAGCCACAGCCAGCGTGGCACTCGCTCACTTTGATGTTCTTTGGCTGACACGCCTGAGAGGGTCGAGGCTACCTGTGCACCCCACACCCACCCGGCCTGGCTGTCACGCGTGCATTTAGGTGGTTGCATGGGCACACGCCTTCAAGGCCAGGGTTGGCCGGGTCGTCGGTTCTCTGGCTCGGCTCAGGCAGCAGTTCCTGCAGACTCTTCTCACTGCTGTTCAGCTCTACGTCTCGTTTAAAATAGCACCAGGAGTTCTCAGGTTGGCTTCTGTGTCTTTTCCAGGTGCGTGTGCAAAAGGCAAAGGGAAGTCACTCTTTCTGTGCTGGGCCCTTTATCTAAACTGTCCTTGAAAGGCAGTTGTGAAGGGTGGGCCCAGACCCCCTCCATGGGACCGGGGATGGGGCGTCACTGTTCCTTAAATCTGAAAGAAAGGATGAAAGAACACCTGCTCTCACAGCCAGCAGTGGCTCAGCAAGAGATGCTGAACCTCACACACCACACGCAAATCCCCTGGGGAGCCGGCTGCCCTCCAGGCCCAGCAGGGATTTGTCTCCTATGGGGCACTGGATGCTAGATAAACCCTTGCACCTTTCCCACAACCTCCTCGGGGCCAGGAAGGAGAGAGAAGGGAGGGAGGGAGGGAAAAGAGGAGGGAGAAGGGGGAGAGCAGGAAGGCAAGGAGAGCTCGGGGGACTGCACCTCCAACAGAATGCCAAAGATGGCAATTCCCTCTCATTTTCCACTCAGGTTTTGAGGAGAGATTACCACCAACCCATCCAAACAGAGGTACTTATTAGAAAAGAAAAAGCAAGAGTGAAGGTGGCACGCCGTGAAAAGATTAGCCATGGGTTTTCTTTCTTTTAGGGAAAGCCAGATGCGGAAGGCAGACAGGACAGAAGGCGCCTTGGAGCTGGCTTTCACGCACGGGGACAGGGCCCGAGCTGGGACTTACGGAACTTGGTCCCCCGTCGCTGACCCTGGGCAGCTCAGCTCCTTGTGTATGAGGCGGATCAGGAACTGCACCAAAACAAAGGTGAGCCCACCCGTCACTGGGGCAGGCACAGGGCGGCCCGTGCTGTGGGCACCGTGAGGACCTAGCCCGCAAGACTCAGGCGGGTGGTTCTCTCCCCACAGCACCTTCCCCGGGGTCACCTCCCTGCAAGGGCAGTGGGGCCTGCATACTCAGCCCGAGGCCTTGGTTCCTGTGGGCAGGGCTGTCTGATGAGGGCCCACGAAGAACCAGGAGGTGCCCTGAAAACAAGGCTTTTGGGAAAGATGCAGCCTGAACCAGTTCTGGGGTCAAGTCATGTTTAGAATAAAATCAGTCCAATCATAAAATATCCACAGTGGGAAAAAGAAAGACAAGAGGACCACAATGCTGGTGGCCCAGGGGGTGGACCTGTGAGTTTCTCAGGCAACTCTAAAGCCAGGTGAGCATCTCCTCCGACGCCAGTCGTGGGGTCTGAAGAGGCTGCCACAGGACAGCTGCACCCCACTGGGAGCCCCTCGGAGGCCAGGCCTGGCCGGGGGCTAGGGCTGTTCCACCAATATTGCTGCCTCAGCCTGAGCTCCTCTCCAGACCCAGGGCTTTAACTCTGTGCCTTTCACATGTTCGAGGGCTCAACATGAGCTTCCAAATCCAGACAAATGATTGTGCTGTCCCCAATTTAACTAGTGTGTCTGCATTTTCCAGTGTGGATCCAGTCTCTCTCCCAGTGTGATATCAGCCCACAGGAGGGCTCTCCCTGGATGTGGCCCCTCACTCTTAGAGGGCCACAGATGCCCTCAGACCCAGGGTGGATCACTGGGCCAGGGGAGGCGGGGAAGGGGTGCTGGAGGACGGTCTCCAGGGGCTGCTTAAAAACCAAACCCATGGCCCCACCCCCAAGCCTCAGGCCACAGCTCTAGAAGGCAGAAACTCTTCTATTTTCTTAGATGCTTATGGTTCGAGTAGGAACTTAGAAGTCCCTCGTATGAGGTGAGTTCAAGCTGGAGAGAACAGGAGCCCCTTCTACAGATAAGATGCATCCAGCTGCTCTGCTTGGTACACGAAAGGTGTTTGCGATAATTAGTTGGTAAAGGTCGTGGGAACACGGCAGGTACTAACAATAGTGCTGGTGGCAAGAGCAAGGTTTTTGTTAAATAAATCCATCTGTGTGTATCTGAACCACTAGCTGCAATTACTGGCACAGGCTTGTTGTGTTTGAGCTGGTACCTTACCCACATCTACATCCTACCAAGTGTGATGTGTGAAAAGTGCTAGCCTGAAGAGTCCTATGATTATGAAAAGCCGATCATTAAGACAGAGAAAAAAAGATGAAGAATGTAGTAGCAAGTGTTATCTGTGGGTATGGGATGAACTGTAAATAGTGACAGCTCTGAAGAACAGAGATCCGATTTCAAAACATGCCCGTGTGCTTGGCTCACGCATGCAAGAATGACCAACAAGGAGGGGCCCTGCCAACTTCAGGAGCCCAGTGCGTACTGGAGACCTGAGGACTTTGGCTGTGTGCCCAGGCAGTCCTGCAGGCCCTGGAGCTGGCCATCAGTGTGCGCGGTGAGGCAGGAAGCATGGTGTCCTCTGGCCCCCCAGGACATCTGCTCAGATCATGGAGGTTCTCAGCCTCAGACTTGGGAGGAAACACTTGTCTATTTTGGTGAAAAGATACCAGAAAGCATGTTGATCAGGGAAGAGAAAAAGGTATGTCTATTTCTTAGGTTTGAAAGGCTCAACTCAAGCTCACTGGCCTGCTGCACATCCTGGTTCAGTTTCTTCTCCACCACAACAAGACCCCACCTCCCAAGTGCTTCTGCTTTAGGTCTCTTTCTTCCAGTGCAACAAATCCAGCCTCCTCTGGTTATTACTTACCTGTCGTGTACTTTCCCATTCTTTTACTTTCGTCTTTTCGGAATTCCAGTGTAGCAGGTGTGTTTCTGGTAAATAACCAGTGCCTGCATTTTTAAAAGCGACTTGACAACCTCTGCTTCTGACTGATGAGTTTAGTCCATTTACAGTTACTGTGTTGCTGGTGTGCTGGGATCATTTTCATCCATGTCGCTATGTATTTCTGTATTTGCCCTGCTTTTTCTATGCTTCTCCTGACCCTAGGTTCTCTTGGATAAATCTTCATTTCCCTGTATTGCCTTGAAGGTTACACATCCTATTGCTATTGACTTGACAATATAAGAACTGCGGTGTGCTGGAACTCTGATTGTCCCGCTTGTACTTTACATTTTCAGCATTTCAGTTCTTTTTTATATTGCCCAAATTAGTCGTCATTGCTGTTGTTTTAAACTAAGAGTCAGAAAGGTCTAGATAGTAAATATTTCAGGCTTTGCAGCCATATGGTCTCTGTTGCACATTCTTTTGTTGATTTTTTAAAAGAAATCTTTAAAAATATAAGCCATTCCCAGCTGGAGGATCATACAAAAATAGGCCACAGTTAGCTGGCCCCTATTTTATATGGTCAATACTTAGATTCATCCTTAGGAATATTGCTTTTTTGCTTGCATTTCTCCTTGCATCTCAGACTTTCCTTCTGGATCTATCTTCCTTCTTTAAATACACTGTTTAGCAATTTTTGCTGGGAGCATCTTTGGTTAAAAATGTTTTCACTTCACCCTTACTCTTGCATGCAAGTTTATCTAGGTACAGAATTCTAAGTCGTTTGATTCCTGAATCTAAGAATGTTTGTCTTTCATGTATCTGGAAAATTCTCAGCTATTTTCTCTTAAAATATTGCTTCAAACTCAGTCTATTATCTTCCTCTGGAATTACTTTCAGATAATATTAGGCCATCTCATTTGGTCCTCCATTTTATATTTCATTTCTCTTTAATATTTTCCATCTCTCTTTTTGTGCTGAATTCTGGATAATTTCTTCATGTCTATATTTGATTTCAGTAATCTCTTCAGCTGTATCTAATTTACTTTTCTAACCCATCCATTGAGTTTTTTTTTCAGGCTAAAGATCACATTTTTCATTTCTATAACTCCTGTTTGGTTGTTTTTGAAGCCTGCTCTGTCTTTTCGATAGTGTCTTGTTCTTTCTTTCATGAGGTCAGTTCCTTTTCTTTACGTCATTAGTAACATTGCATATATTTATTTTTAGTTCATATAACTCTTATCTGCAGTTTTGGGGGAGTCCAATTCCACCATTTTTTATGTCTGTTACTGTCATTCAAAGTGGACTGCTTATGTTTCATAATTTTGTATTGTGAGCTCATCTTTAGCAGGGTGTTAGCTACAGAAATCCCGTGCTGCAGGGCTGAGATTTGTCCCTATTTGATTCTGCATTATCACTGCCTAAGGACCAACTTTGTTCATTTTAAACATATTTATATGAGCTCAAAGATTAAAGCTGACTGTGGGGAGGTCTATGGCTAAAAATATTCAAGGGATATTTTTTCCCTTAATCTGGCTAAGATGGGCAGATTCCCATTGTCTTCCTGTGCCAGTGTGCAGATATCATCTAATACACTCTTTCACTGCAAGCATGGCTCTTCGAGGGTCCTGGCTCTATGAGGAAGTCTCCAGTTCCAAATCCTCATCTTGTGCCAGCCTAACACCTTGTCTCTTACCCAGTGTGGGCACAACCACCCCAACCCCTTGACTCCTGAGCTTGTGTATTTATATTGCCTTTACAATTCTGGCTCCTGGGGAATTCCTTTACTTTCTTATGAGTTTGGCTATGCATCAAAACAATTTTCTACATATATTACTGAATATTTCTGAAGAAGATATTTCAGATTCTCTGAACAGTTGTAATGACAGGAATTTTACTGCTACTTAGTGGAAATACATCTGGAGGCTTCACTAGAACGTTTAGGCATTAAGAAAACCCACAGATGATCCAAAGAACAGCCATTTAAACCTAGTAAATTCATAGGTTGAGAGTTGGTATTTGATTTTGTATGTGGTGGGGAAGTTGAGTTTTATAATTTCCTGGAATTAAGATATAAGACTTTCATTTAGTTGAGTGAGTTGATATTTCTAAAATTCTCAACTCGTTTTTATTGGGATCAGCCTAAGGTTTTGTCTGGTGAAGCAAGAGGAGAGGCATGACTGTGGGTCTGGGGACTTTGTGGCCAGGTGACTTGTAAAGATAAATGTATGTGCCCCTCACAAGTGCACATCTGTGTGACTGTGACATCATCACTGGTCTTCCCTACCCAGAGGAAAACCTCAAGCTTTCTCAACACAGGAGGGCACAGAAGCAGGAGCCCAGAGAAAAGCGGACAGAAGCCAGAAGGCGACTTGGTGTGTCTGCATTGACAGCCTCTTTGCCCCTTTATTCTCTCCCATCCCTTCAGGTGAAAGAAGTTGGGGCTGCTCCCGCCATCTGACAAGCATGGCTGCAGGAGGGACACCAGGACACTGATGACCAGTGGGAGGCCGGGCTCTATGTATCATCTGCTTTAATTCCCACAGCAGTCTTGTCAGTGGGCACCATTATCATGCCCATTTTAAAGCTGTGGAGCAGAGGTTACGAAACCCGCCCAAGGCACACACATGACAGATGACGGGCAGGATCCAGAGCCATGGAGCTCCATGCTCCTGGCCTCTGTGCCATGCCGCCCAAGACTGCAGACCAAAGACTGTCCTGCTTCTGTTTCTGATTTTTTCTAACCAGAGAGAGAAGGGGCTTTAGACTATGCATATTTAGAAAAGATGGGAAGACCCAAATCTGATAACTCAGGAATGCACGGGAGAAAGTTCCACCAGTGTTTGGCCACAACCACAGAGATCTGCATTCAAGGTGGATTGGACTAAAAATAGGCCGACTTACCAGTAAGGCACAGGCATCTGCAAACATCAGCATGTAAAACACATTGCTCCAGCCGGACGGGGAGAGGAGCCCAGCCAGCAGGGGGCCCAGGGCTGCTCCTGAAATCGGGTAAATGGACACACATGGTGCTGTTTAGAGAAAATCCCAGCACATGACCATCAGTCACACAGAATGGGGCTCAACACCTCACTCACAATGAAAGGAACACATATGGAACTATACTACCTCATCCTGGCCTATCAGACTGGGAGCAGGTAAAAGGTCTAGTATAGGTTGAGCTTTCCAAATCTGAAAATCTGAAATCCCAAATGCTCCAGAATTCTTAACTTTTTGAGTGCTGACACTCAAAGGAAATGCTCACTGGGGCATTTCAGAATTGGGATTTGAGATGCTCAACCAGTATAATGCAAATATGCCACAATCTGAAGAAATAAAAAGACGTAACCACTTCTGGTCCCAAGCACTTCAGATAAGGATACTCCACCGGTACGCCTTACTACTGAGAAGGCAAAGCTGGCACAGCCTCTTCCCAGAACCATCCTAAAAATGTGTGTTGGCCTTGTAATGTTCGTTCTTTTCATCCAACACTCCCATGATGTTCCTGAATACACTGTAAGGAAATCTGAATTCAATGCACAATCTTAGATATTCTTATGCTATAAAAATGTAACTGGGTAAAATTGGAATAAGATTTGTAGATACTAATACTCTTCAATGCTCACTTTCTAATTCTGACCATTGCACTGTGGTCTGTCATGGAATTCCTTGCTTTTAGGAAGTACACGCTGAATAGTTACGAGTAAAGGGGCAACATGTGTGCATTTTACTCTTAAGTGGTTCAGAAAAATTATGCATGTGTGTGCATATGTGTGTATATGTGTGTAAACATACATGAGGGGTGCATGATGAACCACATGTACTAAAATGTCTGAATTCTTTGTACTATTTCTGCAACTTTCTCAAAGTCTGAAATTATGTCAAAATGTTTTTTTAAATGATGAAAACAAAATGAAGTATCCCCCTAAATGCCCAGGGGCTGCCGTTTAAGAATGTGTTCTGTAGCAGCTGGTGCACTTTACCAAGAGGGGCTGAAATGAATCCTGATAACATGTAGGATGGCCTGTTTTGGTAGACGCATGGGAAAAAGCGTGAAGAATTTCCACCAAGCTATGAACTGACATTCAATCTCTGAGAAAGAGAAGATAACCAGGGTCTTTCATGCCCTAGACACTCATTTTTTTCAAGTGTTCACAAAGTGCACTTACTATTTTATAATCCCAGGAGCAATTGTATTTTTTTTTTTTTCTAATTCTCAGAACTTCCAGGTAAACATGGTTGGCTACTCATGTGTTATCTCCACACCTCTCAAGCAACACGAACTGCACCATCACTGACTTTTAAAAATGATAAATCCTCCCACCGAAGGGCACGTAGTTTTGGAAGACAGATGTAGAAGGGCTGACAGCTAACACAGCCTCCAGTGTTCCCTGCTCCACTGAGCACCCGCAGAGGGAGATGGCACAGGGACACCTGGAGCAGAGTCAGGCCCAGCGGAGCACACGAGACAGGGGAGGGGAGGGCAAGGAAGGAGGAGGACGGGGTGGGGAAGGGAGGGGGGTCAGCAAGAGAAAAAGGGAGCATGGGTTGAGTCTTATCACAAACTGTTAGCTACATTCCCTCTGCCACACCTCGGATCCCAGGTCTCTCTTCTCATCCTCGCTGATAGAGACTCCTCCTGATGCCCCCGTGCAGGAGAGCACAGCTTAACCTGTGGGGACACTAAGCCCAGCTCAGGACAGGGATGCCACCTAACAGGCAACAGGGGATCTGGGGAAAGACACTAGCTTCCACTAAGCAGCCACCCATGGTCCCACGCCACGGCAAGGATGTTGGCAGCTGGACCCAGGCTCCCCTGGGCACTGAAGGAGTCTCCTCCTCCAGGTTCCACAGGGTCCCTCTGCCTGGAGACCAGCAGCCAGCACACTGTTCCCACAGAAAGACTTCAAACCACTCTGCAGGACCCCTTCTTCCATGGGAAGTGATGAAGGGGCAACCAAGGTCTGCCCTGTGTCTCGGGAATACCCCAACGCAAAAGCAAGCAAGCTGGCAGGAGGGAGCCTGGAGGAGAAGAACATTCCCAGGAGCTCACAGCACCCCCAGAGAGCCAACAGAAGACTAAGTTGAACCTCATGACACTCCCATTTTTTTTTTGTGGCTGAAAACCTGTTATCAATTTCACATGATTCAATCTAACAAGAAATAAAACAAGATGCCCTGAAAGGGCGGAGAAACGTCAGTGAACGCTGAAAATATGGCAGGAAAAGTAAAATGTTCGATACAAAGGTGGAAAATACAGTCAAGAATCTCCTTGAGAAAGTATAAGAAAGAACAGGGAGACGGGCAGGAAGGGAAAGAAAGAAAGGAAAGTTGAAGGATTAATCCAGAAAAGCCTACATCTGACTAATCTGTTTTCCAGAACGAAAAAACAACTCAGAAAATGGTAGGAAAACTTATCAAATGAAGAGGGGCCCAATTCCCCTAAAGCGAAGGGCAGGCGTTTCCAGACTGAAGGGGCCACCAGGTGCCCAGGACGGTGGATGAAGAAAGGCTCCAGGGGTAAGGAAGGGAACCTGGAGATTTCTAAGAGAAAAAAGAGAAGGTCAGAAAGCAAGGGCTGGGGTCAGAATAATGGGTGCTGGAAGACAGGGGTTCTGAAGAGAAGGTGTTTCCACGTCCGCATGCCTCAGGCGAGAGCAGAATCCAGACACCACTTTGCACTTGTAAGCTTGCAGAACGCACCTCCCCTAACTCAGGAAGCTACTAAGAGACAGTTTCCACCACAGGAGTGGTAAACAGGGGTCTAGACTGCTAGGGCTGTGTTGAGGGCAAGAGAGGAGGGGGACTCCCAGCACCGTGGTGACAGGTGCTCTGGGGCAAAGCTGCACAGTGGGTGGAGTGAGGCTGATGGTGTGAAGAAAGGGGTGGGGCGGGGCAGGATGCTGACCACAGTGCAGGGAAGGAAGAACTTTGTTGGAAATGTAGAAAAGAGGAAGAGATGAGATGTGTTTACTCACCCGGGAAAAAACAAGATGTTTCTATTGAGGGTGCATAATTAAAGTTTCTTTCTTGGCTGGAAAGTGAAGGGCAGGAGTGTGGCCAGTATAACTGAGGGGGAGGAGGGTGGGCAATGTCGGAGTGGGAGGGAGCCAGGCCCCCTCTTCCATAAGAGGAGCACAGCTGAGATGTTAAGATGATGAACCAAGAAACATGAACATACACAGGTAAGCAGAGAGAGGCAGCTGAAATTGCTGCTTCTAGACAGAGAGGGCTGGGGAGGGGGATGGAACGCCACTGTACAACATAATAAGTTTGTAGGACTGTCTGGCTTCTAACATACATTATGTTTTACTTTAATAAATAAAAATTAACTTGAAAAAATGCAGCACTCTATTTAATTGCTCTGCCTGAAATGCACAGAAACGGCAACCTTTGCGATTCTAAGGACTGCAGACGCCCCAGGCGCACACTGTGTCAACCGACCATATGGCACTTGGGAGAAGGCAGGGGTGACTTACAATTAGTCATGCTTCGCCTCCACCCGAGTCAGTGCCAAGGAGTGGACGGTGACACTAAGTAAGCATGCGGGCAGCTCCCTCGGGAAGGACCTTGGCTGACATGGTGGCCTTCCCACTGGAGCCTGTACTTTGTCTCGCTGGGCAGCACTCAAGGAATAATGGAAGGAATAATGGAAGGAATAATGACTGAGGCGTGGTGGTGGGGGTGGGCAGGCCTGAGTGCCATTTCCATGGTGACCATTTACTGAGCAGGCAGCAGGCACTGATGGGCGGTAGCGCCTGGAGGAATCGGGTCCTGGTCCCGCCTCTGGTGTAACGTAGCAGCCATCAAGGTGGGCGCAGCAGCTCCGCGGACAGTCAGGACTTGGTGTAGGTTAACAGAAGGCCAGAGGGGGTCCGGCGTGCGTGCCACCTTCCTTGTGAGTGGGCCAAAGGCATTCAGAACTGCGCCTCCCTTCCACCCGCTCGGGGGCAGTGGCCTCTGTTCACAGATGCAGAGTCCCTACCCATAGCCACAGACTTCTGCTTCCCTCTCATTTTGAGAAGAATATGAAGAAAAATGTGTTTTTTCACCTAGTTCATGATTTCCTTCTTTTTTTACACTGATGCTCTGCTTTAAAGCAGCAGTTGGGGTTTTGCCAGTGGAGCGCCAAGTCAGCTTTTAGAACAGGGTTTCACAGCAGAGTCAGACCGAATCGCAGGCCGCAGGCCACTGGGGCACAAGGCCAAGAGAAGGCCGCGCAGTCACAACGTCAATCAGAACCGAGCTCAGCCCTGCAGCCCCCGACTTCCTACTGAGATGCCCAAGAGAGAAGATCAGAGGGGTGACCACTGCCACCACCCAATACACTCAAAGGCCCTCTGGATCCAGTGAAATGAAGGAACCAACATTAAGGGTAGAGACAAGCCTGGTCTGGTCTCACTTTGGTGAACAGCAAAAGCCAAAGTGTGGCTTTCTGAGCAACGGCCACCCTGCCCACTGCTTCTCAGAACAAGGCAGTGGGTCACATGAAGCCAGCCCTGCCCCAGAAACAGCAGCAGCAGCAGCGTGGAGCTGGGGTTCCCGCCAGCCAGGGGTGGGTGGGGCGCCTGGGGCCTGTCTGGCCTGGCTCCTCACTGTGCACTCAGCCGCGTGGGCCCTGGCTGTGATTCTAACTGGGAGCAGCCCGTTCAGTTCACTGGGATATGGCAAAAACCCAAGCAAATCCCATCCTCCTGGAGCTTCCGTTCCAGTGGTGGGAGACAGAGGAGACGAAGCAGAGGAGCGCACCAAATCCCACTGCGGATGGGGAGAGTGCTCCAGAGAACAGACCAGGGAGAGGCGGCCTGGCGGCCGGGCCAGGAGGGTTCCCACGTTCTCAGCAGGGTGGTCCCAGGAGGTCTCGCTGACAGGATGACATCTGAGCAAAGACTCAAGGCATAAGGGAGTGTGGCACGAGGTCACCTCTGGGGACCTTCCCAGACACAGGGCATGGCCAGAGCAAAGAGCCCGCACAGGGGCCAGCCTGGCCTCTGGAGGAGCAGCAGGGAGGCCATGCGGTGGGAGGGCTCTGCATTCTGCCATCACTGAGACAGCAGTGGACACCCAGAAACGTGCTGTGGTTTCCAGCCTGCTGACACCAAGGCCGCGGGCAGCCGAGAGCAACATCGGCGCTCTGCACGAGCCCGCGGGAAGGCTCCAGCGCCAGGGTCTGGCTGACCTGGGTTCACCCAGCCACCTTCGTCTAGCAAACGCTGGGCTTTACTGCTTTGAGAACCCCATGTAGCAAGTGACTCACCAGGTTGGCACCCCAGGTCCTCATTAGCCGTGAGAGCCACTCCTGGCAGCCCCCCGTCACCTCCCACATGTAGGGAGGACCCTCCTGATCTTCACCTGGCAGGTGTGGCAGCTCCTGATCTTCACCCGACAGCACAGCCACCGTGTGTGTTGCCCGTACAAGGGCTCAGGGAAGGCCATGGCCGTGCTGTCAGGCTGCACATGGGCGAGGAGCCTGGCGCTCTGCCAGTTCCCACCTGCCTGCTCCCTAAGGGAATGGGTTGCTTATCCTGCCACCTTTTTAAATTCCAGAATATGCCACTGAATTCTCTTCAAGAGCTTCGACGATGCTGGTAACACTCAGAACCCTGTATGCTTTTGGACCAATTAGTGTTTCTGTAATTTAATAAGACTCTGCCTTTCTTGAGATGAAGGCAATAAATAATGAGTGGACCTGAGTTAGCCCATGGGCTGTAGTCTGCCAACCACTGCCTCGGGTGAAAACCTGGACACACACAGCGAGTCACACGCGCATCTCCCTGAAGCCACCCAGGCATGCACGACCATGTCCCCTGCTATCCGCTCGTACTGTAAGCAGCCGGCCCACCTGACGTTAGCGGTGCAGTTGGAACCCTGGGTACCTGTTCACGAGCATGAGACAGTGTGATTTCCACTAAGACACCAAACCTCCCAGAGCCAAAACTCTCTGCGCACCTACAGAGCCGGTCCCGTCGATGATGGCGGTCACGGTGGACAGGGCATGTGCATTGCCTTTCAGACTTTTATGAGTCCCCTAGAAGAGAGGAAAAACAGATGTGGAGCTTGTCTCCGTAGCATGAGAAGTAAACCTAAGCCTCTGTATGACCATCTACTCGAACTGCTCTGCAGAACGACTCAGCGTGAGGGCGTTTCTCATTAAACTCCACCCCAAGTTTGCCTTGGAGAATTAAAACTTCAAGGGTTTTTAAGAGTCAAAAATCATCAGAAATGTTTGGTTCTAGTTACAAGAACCTTAGGATTCTTTTCAAATAAAAAAATGTTTGTTCAGCAGAGTCCTGCTCCTCCCTGAGGCCCCAGAGCAGCCAGCGTGAGGTGTGAAGATGCGTGACACGCGCCCCTGCCCTGAGCTGCGCCGGCCTTCCTTCCCAGCACCCGCCTTCCTTCCCAGCCACGTCCACATGTCTGCTGGATTCCTCGACAGCCAGGGCCTTCCTGGGACCCCTGTCAGACGTCTCTGCAGGACCTAAAATTCAACCTGATTGATAGCAAACGCCAGGGGAAGAAGGGAGGAGGGGAGAGCCGAGAAACCAAGGCCGGCACGGGTCCTCGGTGAGCAGCCGCCAGGAGCTCCGGTTTTGAAAATGTTGCATAGATAATGGGGAAAAAGCACAAATTGAGGACAATAGGAGGGGGAAAAGATCAGGGGAAACAATGCCTGGAAGCCTAAAACTATAAAAATGAACCAGCATTCAAAAAATAAATGCTTGTGTATGCATGTAATATGTATATAAAGAACAGAACACACAATATGAAAATCATCCAGAACCTGTGTATTTTGAAGTCTAAAAAATAAGTGAAAGTCTCTCCTCTGCCTCTATCCCATAAAGGCTGACCACTGCTAATGATCTGATGTGGATCCTTCCAGAACTTTCCATGCCCATGCAGACACAAGTCTCACGCACACTCAGGCAGTTTCAGGACACGCCCAACACAAAGGTGACCAAGGCAGGGCGTGGTACCTGGATGAGGGGGGCCGAATCCCCCAGCGCCTCTTCCCGGCTGAGCCCCTCTCTCTCTGCAGAGGTCTCCAGGACAGGACCCCTCCCCTGCCCCCTTGGAGTGAAAAGGCGCCTGAGTCATGAGGATGGCGCCCAAGAGCCTTTTGTTGTGCTGAGCGGTGAGTTTCGCGCCAACCTGCCCGTGATTCTAGAAGCGTGAGGAGGGGGGCAGGTGCAGGAAGGCTGGAGACCACAGATGTAGGTGAGCTGCCAAAAACGTGCTTCTGCAAATACGGTTTTACTAACGGTAATGGAGGCCGCTTTTGTCATGAATGGCAAATGGCGGGGTGCCCACAGGGCCAGCGTCTCTCCCAGCTCTACTCACCAGGTCGGCAGAGACAGCGGTGGTGATGAGCGCGTAGGGCCCACTGACCAGGGCTCCGCTGAGCAGCAGCATGGCTGTGGGAGGCAGAGGGGCAGAGAATGGAAGCGCGTCCTCCAGAGAGCCCCGCGTGCATGGGAGCAGCCCGAGGTGGGCTCCTGGGGAGCACAGGGAGGGGGTGCAGCAGAAACAGCTTCCTCTAAACTTGTCTAGTAAGGCGCTAAAGCATATCGTACCCTCCCTAAGACTCAGGCTCATCCACCCTTGAAGGGCAGCAGCTGCCGCCACAAGGGAGTGAGCACAGGCTGCACCCCGGGCCTGACCCCGGGCCTGGGCTGGCCCCTGCTTCATCTGCGGCAGAAAGGCCTGCCTCTCCTCACCCACTGCTGCTGTGGTGCTCGCTGAGGGCAGACTCCCACCCTCTCCCTGGACCACGTCGCTTCCTAAACTCTCCTCTAGGCTCACACTCAGGTGAGGAAGCTTCTGGCCTGAGGGGTCACAGGAAACCCCGCTTCCTCTCCTGTGGGCAAGCTGCCTTTTGGATAATGTTTAAGGGGACCACACACATCCCCACTGCTGGCTCGTTAGGACAGAAAGCATACTTTTAAGTGCTGGAGGCATAATTTGATAGCATGGCCTGCAGCGTGTTCAAGATAGTCCTCCAAGTTTATGCAACCACTCCTGGAGGGCAGCTGGCAAAGCTGGGAGGAGGTGGCTGGGGGGGGCCACTTGCCATGGCTCCCAGCCGGACCCTGCTCAGGTCACACTGCCAGGTTCCTGGCTACCTGACACGGCCCAATGGCTAGACTGGGTTGCTCTCACCACCAGGGGTGCAGGTTGCAGGTCGCAGGCTGCTGCAGCCCCACCGAGGCCTCAGGAGGGGCTGACCTCAAGGTCACCTCTGGCTTCTCCACTGAGTGCCCAGGGCCACTGCCCCAAACCAGGCTCGCACTCTCCCGGCTCACACTGAAACCCGCAGACCGGCAAGCCTTGCGCTGGGGAGAGGAGACCCTGGCCTCTCCAGATGGCTTCACCCGAAGAAGGACACGGGACAATTTTAGCCACACCATGTGCTCCAGTTAAACCAACTCAATGCACCTGTTGATTTTAATATTTCATCTTGCCAGTTGTGTGAACTTTAAAAACGTATGTGAAAGAAAAGCAGGAAGGCCTCCATACTCACCGATGGTGGCCTCGAGCCCCATCTTGCTGATGGTGGAGAAGATGTACAGCTGTGGACATCAAGACACAAGGTCAAAGCTATGGCTGGCTGCAGGCAGCACGAGATGGCTGGAAACCTACTTCTCAAAAGCCCGGCGGGTGATTCTCAGGCAGCCATCCCAAGAGTGGAAACCCCTGAAAAAGAGTGACGGCCACGCCCCCTCCCGTCTCAGGCATTGGGCCTTGTCCCCACCACGAGGGCCTTGGACCAAGCACTCCGGGCGACCTGGGGAAATCTGCAGGGTGCTCCCACTCTACATCCCCAGCCAAGGGCAGTCTTCCGGAGCTCCTGATTTGATTTGAGAGTCTGACTGCCAGGTCCTCAGGCTTCCCACCCCCGATGGCAGCAAGGGGCCCACCCAGGCATTTCTTCACTCAGCATTCTTTCAGGGTCTGTATTGGGCCACGTCCAGGACCCCAAGATGGCTGAAAGTCAGCCCTTGTTCTGGAGCTACTGGAGAGGCAGACGTGCAGAGCTACAGCGTCTACTGGCAAGCCTGTTACCTCTAATGTTACGATGATAAAAACAGTGAGGAAGGATGTGCATTGTTTCTAACCCACGGCAAGATGGTGCTACTGACATCCCATTTTCCAGATGAGGGAACTGGGGCACAGAGAGGGCTGTCACTGCCCAAGGTCAGGAGCTCCAAATGCTTGAAAAGTGCTATGCACCATGTGCCACAACGAGGGGTCAACGATGCCTAAGAGGTGGCGGAGGTATCGCGGATCCCAAAGGATGGGCAAGAGCTTGTCTGGGGCAAGGGGGCACCCCAAAGTGAGGAGCAGCTTGCGCACAGCCCATGCTGAACCAGCAGCAGCTGTGCATGTGGGGGAGGGAGCCTGGTGGAGGCCCGCAGGTGCAGAGGGAGGGGTCAGAGGACAGGAGGCACGAGAGGGAATGAAGTGGGCTTGTTAGGAAAGTGGAGCATGGGACAGATAGGAGAGGATGCTGGCTGGTGGGGAGGACAGTGGAGAACTGTCTGCAGGCTTTGGGGCCCAGGGAAGGCAGCAGGGCTGACCGTGGGGGCTGCGAGCAGCAGCATCAGGCCGCAGGTGGAGGCCCTTTTCTCCAGTCGGTCTGAGATCACACCTGCCAGGATCCCACCTGCAACGGAGAGGCGGGCTTCAGGCGCTGACGTCCCAGGGCATGAGCCCACGGGGAGGAAGCAGAACTGCAGGAGCCCGGAGAACGGCCTCCTCCTTTCCCAAGCCCCTCTCTCCATGCATCACAGGCAGGCAGGCTTCTCACAGGCCTGACCTCCCCACAGGCCTCCACTGGTTGTGGTCAGATGTGAGAGTCTTGGAGACATCTGTGAGTTCAGGTTTTAGACCAGTCTTGAAGCCCCTTTACCTATCGCGGTACTAAGGTGGCCAGTCTGTCACCTGCCCAGGACGCATGCTGCTGCTTTTTTTTTTGTTTTAGTTTTGAGATGGGGTCTCACTCTGTCACCCAGGCTGGAGTGCAATGGCATGATCATGGCTCACTGCAGCCTCAACCTCCTAGGTTCAAGCCATTCTCCCATCCCAGCCTCCCAAGGCTGGAACCATAGTCTCGAGCCACCACGCCCAGTTATTATTATTTTTTGTAGAGAGGGGTCTTGTTATGTTGCCCAGGTTAGTCTTCATAACAAAAAGAGCTCAAGCGATCCTCCCAACTCGGTATCCCACAGTGCTGGGATAACAGGCATGAGCCCCTGAGCCCAGCTGGCATGCTGTTTCTGAGGGAAGCTGTTCAAGTGCAGAGTCAGGGCCCTGGGGAGGGAGGGGAGACCATAGGACCACCCGCAGGTGACGGCCTAACCCTCCTGGGCTGGGTCCACTCAGGAGATATGAGACCTTGGGGAACCCTGCTCCCTCTGAGCAGCGAATCAGCTCAGGGATCATGCGCCTTGTGAAATTATTGCTGCAGCAGAACATGTCTTAATGAACTCACCAAAGATTCCGCCCACGTCAAACAGGGTGGAGAGCTCCCCAGCTTTCTTGGCATCAAGGTGATCTATTAAAATGACAACGGAGTGTGAAACAATGAGGATCTCTTTCATGCATCACAGTGACACACCACGGCAGAACAGGATCCATGCACGAGACTCCGGTTCCATAAGCTTGATTGACACCAAGGAGCAATTAGCAGTTAACTCAGATTTAAAAAACAAATAACATAGAAAGGATGAAAACACTCTTAACCAAAAACCGTGGCTTTCCTCTGCTCAGTCTAAGTATCCCACCTTTGGTTCAGAGGCCCCCCAGGGGCCCCTCCGCCATGAAGCTAGATTAACACAGGACAGAAGTAGGGGTGTGGAAGGAGCCTGGGTGCTCGAGCGTCCTGTCACATGTGCTGTCTGACCACATGACTTTAGAGCTGCAGATGAGGACACACAGGCCTCCCAGCACCAGCTCAGGGTGCCCTCCACTAGATTTTGTACAAGTTCTGGGCTTTAAGGTGGACTGAGCCAGCTGGGCGTGAGAAAGGAGACTGGGCTTTAAGGTGGACTGAGCCAGCCACGCGTGAGAAAGAAGACTGGGCGGCATCTGGGGCTGCGGGTCAAACCCGGCCTTTCTGAATCATCAATGGCACGGACAGGAAACTTTGCTTTTTTCAAACAAACTGGAAATGCCAGCAGTTCAAGACTCAAGTCCTGAGAATGTCGCCCCTTTTGCAACCACAGGGGAAGAAGGGAGAAAGAAGACCCAGGCTGTGTGCAGCTCACCGGCCGAAGTGAGGCGGGGGTCACGAGGCAGGGAAAGAACCCCAGGATCCGAGGGCGCTCCTTGCTGCCTCCCCACTCACTGGCCCTTGGGCAGGCCCTGTCCCTGCTAGGCTGTGGGACAGTCCCCACACCACCTCCTCAACTTCCCTCCTGGGGTATTCAGCTTCCAGCCTCGTGCTGCCAGCGTTCTCCTCTGGTGGGATCTGCATCCCCAGAAAAGGTGGTCTGCGCTCCTCAGCCTCCCCCATTCTCTAATGCCTCCTCTTTGAGACATCGCTGGATCCTGCCCCTTCCTGACGGCCTGGTGTCTTCTTGTCTTCTCCTTCCTCTCACTCTCTCTGGCTCCCTGGGCAAAGAGCCCTCCATGTGCTCCTGGCCCATCCCTGCTTCCTCTCAGCCAGGGTTCTGGTTTCCCCACTCAACGGCCCCTTCCCTTAAGCACTCTTCATCCCCTCGTCTGTCCTGTGGTCACACATGACATGGGGGAGCATGTTACTATTTCACTGGCATGTTTTCTCATAATCTAGAGCTGCAGCCACCGCGAGGCTTCCGAAACGTAAAGCAAACTGTTGGCCCTGCCAAAAATAAGAAGTTATCTCCCAGAAGCCATTTCCAGGTCAGAGTATCAGGGATTTCTTCTCTCAGGTCCCCAGAGGCCTTGCTTCTGCTCACTGGCTGCTATGATCCAAAGTTCAGTGTAGCCCACATTTAAATGCAGGCTGCCCCAGAGCAGGAAGTACCTCATGAACTGGTAGCCCTAGCTGGGATAGAACGTGTCAACCTTTAAGCCCCATAAAGGTTACCATTATGGCAATACAGTTTGCATATTTGAATTCTTTTTAGCCTATGTTTCATCATAGTACTTTATTCAAAAGTGTGCCTCTCAAATCACCCTTCGTGACCTTGTGTTTCCAAGACTCTAGAAACCAGCCCATAGAAGAGAGTTCAGATCCCAGTGAGTGTGCGGAACTTAACGTGTTCTAGCAGTGGATACTCACCCACATTCGTGATGTACAGGGGCAGCCAGAAGAGGAAAGTATAGCTGACCAGCTTGGCGAACAGCAGACACAGCGAGAACTCTATCACGCCCTGAAAGAGAGAGCGGTCAGGCGTCTTCTCCAAATGTGGAGCCAGCAGGTGTGTGTTAATATGCAACAGAGTTAAATATGACTTCGCTCCCACAAAGACATCCTGTCTTTGGTCTGGCTTTAGCACCTCCAGACACGTAGTGGGGAGGGTGCTGCACTGCTGTGTGGTGTAGTGAGGATGCGCGAACTGTGGGGCACTCACCCCAGCAGGTGCACCAGGGAGGGGCAGGACCCTGACAGGGGTGGGGCCACAGCTGCAGCTACTCTACTGTCACATGGGGTGCAGGCCCAGTTTGGCCAGATTTTCTGCTTTTCAAGTGAAGATGGGAAGCCCTATTTATCTATGAAATTTCTGAATTTTGAAATGGAGACTACCTTTTAGGATCAAAACCCAGTGTCTTTACATCAGAGTAGAGTCAATGAAAACATGTACGGGTTTGATTTTCAAATGACATCGGCTGGAAAACTTAGCTATTAAAGGAGTTCTCGTATAGCCGGGCGCAGTGGACTGAGTACTGAATGGCTCCTTCTTCTTCCCTGGAACTGAAATCGCTGTAAATTATAAAGTCATCTGGAAACACACAGATCAAACAGTTCCGACCATTCTGTCCGCACACAGGCATACAGGCTACTGCATCCCGCCTGTGAGTACCACAAACCAGTCCGCACCAGGGAAAACAATGCAAAGAGACACGTAGGTACGAGTGAGGAAATCGAGTGGTGGGTTCTGTAAAACGCCTGTTTGTGTTTGTTTTATATCTACTTTCAGAAAGAGGTGGCACTTGTGAGATAAAAATTCCAGAGGCCATCTGAAAATTTGGAGTGAGAAATCCAGTAACACTGTGGTGCTGAATCCCCCGGCTGTCTGTGCACTGAAAATCAACCAAAACGGGGGCCGGGGGAACCCAGCGCTCCACTTCGCCAAGTCATTCTAAAATGAAACGAGTTGATGTCTTCACAATTGATGAGGATGTGTGCGTGTAATTTACCGTATGCCTTTCATGGGCCTGGCATTGTGCTTAGCAGTCATTAAATGACCTCACTTCATCCTCAGAACAACGTACGGTATTACCCCAGGAATGGAGCCCATGTGACAGATGAGGACATGGAGGCTCACAGTGCGCCACACTTGCCCGGAACACTCAGCTTGGTGGTGGCAGGGGGAGGCTTGAGCCGGGCCTCTGAAGGCCATACTGTCTATAGCTCCACTACATAAAAACCTGTATTTTTATAACTAGTGTGCACCCTACTTTAGTACAAGTATTTGGGGATAGCTACAGAGGAAGGTATAGCAGAAAAGGTCACTAGTTGTTATTAAGGACACAATTAAAAACAAATCTTTTGACTTAAACCTAGCAGCTTCCACAGGCTGGCATGCACAGCCCTTTCCCCATGAACTGGTGTCCAGCCTGGGCTGGGATGTTCTCCTCTGGCTGAACTCTGGCTCCAGGGTCTGCCTCTGCAGGCCCAGTTTCTCCTGGGCACTGGAATACTTTCTGTTCTGAAGTCCAGGTTCTCCCCAGTCTTTAATTTCTGTGATATGATTTTGAGGTCTGGGTTGCACTGCTTATGCTTCCAGCCCTGACCTGCTGAGGGGCCTCAGGCCTGTGCCCCCAACCCTCTGCCTTTCTCTAGGTCGTGTCAGCAAGTGAGAGCTGTGTCTGCTTCGTGGTGCTCTGGCTGTCAGTGCTGGAGGGCACGGCCTGGACAGTCCCCCCGGCAGCCTGCCCAGCCCACATGGCAGGGTCTGGTCTCCCTCCTGTGCCCCTGCTCTCGGCTCTCTGCCCCCATCGGAAGAACACAGCCTCTCCACGCCCTGCGCACGGCTCCTTAGATTCTCTGCTGAGGGAGTCCATGAATGTAATAAAAACTGAAAAAGCAGCAAGAAATCTCCTTACAGTGTCCGTCCCGCTCATCTGCTCCAAGTCAGCTCATCCTCAAGACTGATCACCCACTGCGGGGCACGGTGGCGCCCTTCTAGTCTGGAGGCAAGGCCAGCAGTGCCAGCGAGGACCAGCCCGGTCCAGATTCTGACTCCAAGGCTTCTCCCGCCTGTGCTGCTTGTTCTTCCCTTGGTCCCTGCATCCTCCCTCTCACTCTTGGCATCCTCTGCTCACCACGCACGGGCAATCAGGCACTGAAGGCACTTTTTTTTTTTTTTTTTGAGACAGAGTCTTACTCTGTTGCCCAGGCTGGAGTGCAGTGGTGTGATCTTGGCTCACCACAACCTCCGCCTCCTGGGTTCAAGCGATTCTCCTGTCTCAGCCTCCCAAGTAGCTGGGATTACAGGCGCCTGTCACCATGCCTGGCTAATTTTTGTGTTTTTAGTAGATACAGGGTTTTGCCATGTTGACCAGCCTGGTTTTGAATTCCCGACCTCAGGTGATCCACCTGCCTCGGCCTCCCGAAGTGCTGGGATGACAGGCGTGAGCCACCGCACCCGGCCCAAAGGCACTTGAAAGGGAAAGAGAATCCAGCCAGGCTTGTGAAGGCCACGACACGGCACTCAGTGACAGTGCCTCCCATGGGCTCACACTCAAGGCCTGTGGGAGGGCAAGTGTACCAGGGAGGGGCCGGGCCACAGGGGCCAGGTGGCACAGTAGTCAGGGCCTCAGTTCCCCAACCTGTCACGTGGGGGCAGGCCCAGGGCGCCAGGCTTTCCGTTTTTCCAGTGAAGGCAGGGAGCCCCATTTTTCTATGAACCTTCTGAATTTCTAAATGAAGAAAACGAATTTCAAAAAAAATTTCAACATGGTATGAGGCAAACCAAGTATCACTGCAGACATATTCAGTCCTGAAACTACCAGTGTGCAGCGTTGGGCTTTGGCTACGGATTCGAATCCCCGGGTTCCATAACCACAGATCTCTTTGTAAGCTTAATCATCAACTGACCAGACTTCCCACAGCCAGCGCAGCAGCCCTTTCTGAAACTTCTGAAACTCCTCCTGGGCACGTTTACTTACTGGAATTTTCAAGGCTCCTGTGAAGCTGATGGCGGCTGTGCCACTCCCGCTGTCCCCGGGGAGAATGACGACATGGTTCGGGTGGATGGAGCCCTTCCCATCTGAGAGCAGCAGGCACTGCATCTCGGGGTCCTGGAGGCAAATCCATTGGGAACAAAAGGGAAAAGTGTTACCAGCCGGGCAGTCTGGGTGAAGTGGGGCCAGGCTTCCTAATGACGAGGGTGCCTGGCGGCTCTCTCTTCCACTGCCTTGGCGACATCCTGGGTGACATTCCCACGTGGCCGCTGCGTTACAATGATTAGCATTCATGCATTTTCATGAACAGCTAGGTACACACATCCTCGGAACCAGAAATTCTAGGAATCTATTTGCAAAAAATAATTTGAAAAGTAAAAAAATACGTATAAAGTAAAATGGATGTCACATCGAGAAAAATTAGAAAATTCAAATACATCCATACAAATGACATCTTGCCAAAAAAAAGGTTGGGAGATTTTAATGACAGGAAAATGCTTATGACACATTAAATAACACATCATTCAAAACTGCATGTCATTATAACCTCAAATAATGTTTAAATATCTACATATATAAGTAGGCAACTATAGGATCTATTTCTAGAAAGAAAGCAGCTAAAATCTAAGCCAACAATGCTTGTCACTGAGTGGTAGAATTATGTGTAATTTTTATCAAAATGCTAATAAGAACTTCTTTACATGATCGTGTATTTTTTAGGAGCTCACAATGGCCATATATGACCAGAAACATTATTTTAAAATACACCAACATTATTTTAAAATACACCTATTCTGATATTTATGAATTCTGATCGTCTAGATGTTCCTAAAGGACAAAGTGTACATTCATTAAAGCAAAGAAGAGTGATCCCCAACCAACAGTGGGATTTCAAGTCAGAGCAAGAATAACATAAAAATAATGTTAGCCTGGGCCACATATAAGACCTCATCTCTAGGGAAAAAAAAATAGTGGAATGTGGTGGTATGCGCTTATAGTCCTAACTGCTCTGGAGGCTGAGGCAGGAAGATCACTTGAGCCCAGGAGGTTGAGGCTGCAGTAAGCTGTGATTGTGGGGCTATACTTCAGCCTGGGCAAGACCCTGTCTCAAAAAAGAATGAAAATAAAATAAAAATGTTCTTCATGAATGAACTATGAGGTTCAAGGTCTTACAAAGAAATGTTTCTATGTATCTCAGACCTTTCACAAAATCAAACAGCCTTGTGGTACTTATCTCACTATAACCTGTTTTAAGTTGGACTAAAAATGTAGTTTAATTAAAAAAAAAAAGAAAGAAAGAAAATGGTAATGTATTCCACATTCCCCTGTCCCTTGATATTTATAATTTTCTTCCAGTGGAAAAAAGAAATTTGGAAACCGGGTGGCAGGTGGGACTGAGTGCAGCCCAGTGTGGGCACCCAGCGGGTGGCCTCAGGGGCAGCTCAGTATCTACGTCCCCCAGGAAGCCCGGCTTCACGGTTAGGACTCTGGCATGGAGAGCGGGTCTCTGATGAAGATACTCACATGTGGCCACATAGTCAGGTGCTCTGGAATGAAGATGACAAGCCTGAGTGCAAATGCCTAACATGCTTCCGATGATAATTCCATCACGGCATGTGAAAACAAAGAATGGCGACTGAGTTTCAGAATAAACTTTTCTCTCATGAGTTCTGCTAATCGTCCAGTTTAGGAAACTGAATCAGTAATGCTCTACTGTGGCTAAACACTGGAATCTTCTGTGGGAGGCTTTGAGAAGCCCCGAATTCCCCCAGCCCAGCTGAAGCAGCCCCTGGGGCAGCCCCAGGCGAGTTCCACTCATAGCAAGCTGAGGGCTACAGGACTTCGCAGGCTGTTCTGTAGGAAACAGGCTAAGCAGTGGGTGAAATGCAACCAGCTGGAGAAAAGTCAAGTGGAAAGAGGCCGCTTAGGCAGGAGAAGCGCACCCTCTGACCCACTGAGAAGTGACTGCAGGTCGACACAGAAGATCTACCTAGCCTCAGGTAGGACCCAGATGCCCAAGGGCCACCCACGGCCCTTGCAGGATTTGTGAAGTGCTCCAGGGTCCACTTGCTGGGCTGGTTTAAAGCCACAGACACAGACCCTCTGCTCCTTATCTAAGGAGCAAGGAGCCCCCTAGACAGACAGAAGGCTGTTTCTGCTGAGAGCAGGCCCTGTGCTCACACCCACTCATCTTAAACAGGACTTGCAGCCACCACGCCCCAGTTGTTTGCTTCTGGAGGAGATGAGAAAGACAGTGTGGGGCCATGGCTGGTTTTCCAAAACAAACAGGGGCTGCTGCTGCCTCCTCCTTACATAGCAAACAAGAAGCCACCGGGTGGACCAAGACAAGGCTGGAGGCCAAGAGGCACCTCTGCCTCTAAACAAGCAGTTTCCAGTCTGTGTCCCAAGAGCCCCAGATGGGATCTGTGGAGCCCCCGGCGGGTGTGGGGGCTTCTGTGGCCAGTGCACTCCATGCTTAGGGCTTACACTTTCAAAGAGAAAAGGGCTCCCTCTACTAAAACACACACACACACACACGCACAACAAAAATCCACACAGATGTGCATGGGGGGACTTGTGTAATAATGACCGCTCTATCCAAAAATGCTAAGCTCACCCTGCTACCCGATGCTGTCTGCAGCTTCCCTTAGGAAAGGCCATCGCAGAGAGATTTGTGGAGTCCCCACTTGGCGTGCAAAGTGCACGGCGGAGTCACATTCAACCTCCAAATACCCACTCGGCGTTCATGCCGTGTTTGGTGGGCCCAACAGTTCTTGAGCCACAGTCAATCAGAAGGATCCTCAGAGACGTCAAGGAGGAAAAGTGACAAGTGACTACAGGGACGGCAAGTGCGACCGTCCCCAAAACAATCCTCTAAAATGCCCACGGGGACTTGTGGGCTTGCCACATGGCCAAGTGACAGCAGAGCCTCGTTCTCTTTCCCACATTTGCTCCCCACCCCGCAGCTTTCTTTACACGTCTCTTCACGAGGCCACAGAGAAAGTGCTTGCCACGTGACATAATTTAGCAGTTGCCTGAAAAGGAGTGGAGGTCAGGGGCCCAGTGGTCACTCTGGGAAAGGAGACATCCAGGGTGTCCAGCCAACCTCGCGGGGCACTCTCCCCGCTGACCCTGACCCAAATGTAATAGCAGGCCTGCCGAAAGGGGGTGCCACGCAAGCGCGGCCAGCACGTGCCCGGTCGTGGTCATCTGAAGCATCATCCTCAGCCTGAAACAAGGCCTGCCAGTGCCTTTACTTACGTAACTGGCTCCTTGACAGCAAGTTCGTAAACAGCCTTTCTTAGAAGGGCCGGAAAAGGAAAGAGAGAAGCTATACCCAGAAGCCACGGCTAGTTTTATGGGTCAGTTACTGCACCAGAAGAAAGGGCCTGTGGTCTTGATTCAGAGCAGGTGGCCGGCTTCAGTATCATCAGAGAGGGGCCACAGTCTTTTGGACACTGACTGGGACATGATTTGTTTAAATGTGAATTCAGTAGTACAGATTTTAAAGCATTTTGGTTAAATTAGTCACTGCCTGCAATCTCCTTAAAATCCAAGAACCCAGATGCATGAGACATAATTTTTCCCTTTTCTAATATTTCAGCCACCACAAATAAATTTCCCCAGTCAATAAAAAAGTGAGACGCATGTATAGTACATTAATCCTTTAAGCCATTTGATTTAAAAGGTAGGGAGAGCAGCCCCTCACACATGCCGGAGGGAGCCCTCTCCCAGAGGAGGCCCTGTGTCTGTAGAAGGTTAAACCTGATTTAGAGGCCAGGCATGGTGGCTCACGCCCGTAATCCCAGCACTTTGGGAGGCCGAGGTGGGTGGATCACCTGAGGTCAGGAGTTCAAGATCAGCCTGGCCAACATGGTGAAACCCTGTCTCTACTAAAAAATATAAAATTCAGCCAGAGGTAGTGATGGGTGCCTGTAATCCCAGCTACTTGGGAGGCTGAGGCAGGAGAATCGCTTGAACCTAGGAGGCGGAGGTTGCAGTGAGCCAAGATCGTGTGCCACTGCACTCCAGACTGGGTGACAGAGTAAGACCTTGTCTCAAAAGAAAACAAAAAACCAAACCAAACCAAACCAAACCAAAACAAAAACCCTGATTTAGAAAGAGAACAGCTTACAACTTCAATGATTAAACTCAAATTTAAAATGCCTGCTGTGTCTTGGTGTGGTCAGCTAAGCAGCAGCAACGTGAGGAGCTTCTACAAGGATCGAGGATGGGAAGGGTAGGGGACAGGAGGCTCAGGTGCCAGGGGTGGCAGAGCCTGCACTGAGGGCTCCCCACTGCAGATGACAAGGCAGATTAACTTAGCATTTCTGTGTCCCGAATTCCTCATCTGTGACACGGGGGAAGGGGAGATGCCTCTTTCTGTTACCTGCTTCTTCCTTACCTTTTCTTGGTCGCATGATGTCAGTTTTCTGTGTGCACCTCATGTGGCCAAGCCACCATGCGCCCCTCACCCTGACACCCTCTGTGCTCAGGCACCTGCAGACTCTCCAGTCTCTCACAGCTCTGTTCCAACACTGTCTGCCTAGGGAAGCCTACCCAAGGCCAGCCGAAAATAGAGCCTGCTCAGTCTGTCTTCCTTGTACTTGGCACCGCTTGGGGGACGTCTCTGCTTGCTTTCCGTCTGCACCAGCACCACCCCCCACACCTGGAATAGTGCCTGGGACATTGAAAGCTGCAGAGCTGCTGAATGAATGAATTGGTTAAGTGTAAAATCCAAAGAAAGCCAATAAGGGCAAACTCAAATTTTACTGAAGAAATTCAATGAGACCTAATTTTTTTTAAGACCTGGATGTTTGTGACACACGTCACATAGGCAGAGGGACAGAGAGCTGACGAGGTTCAAAGGAGTTTTCCTGCAGCTCCGACATTCTAGGAAGTGTGTGTGACTTACCAGAGGCCTGTTCTTTTCGGTCTTCAAGATTTGCTTCTGGAGTCTCAATCTGTTTGTACCATTCTCAGAGCCTTTTGAGTGCTGGGGAAAAAAAAAAGTTTCATTAGAGCAATACTGATTCAACAGCTAGAAATTAAACCTGGCTTTACTGTAGCAAGGATACTTACTATTGTCCCAAAAAAGCTACCAAGAGGACATAAGACAACTGATTTAAACAGAGTAATGGTTGGTCTCAACACTCCAGACTCTCAGATAATAGAATGTGAAAATCAAATCCTCTCTTGAAGGAAGGGCTAAGACAGAGGTGTAACCAAATGTAAAAATATCCATTAACTTTTCTTAATGGCTGTGAGATTGTTTCAATGGTTTTGAAATGAAAAGGCACAGAGCCATCTTTCTGTTTAACATGTGAGGAACACCTGCCCTCCCTAGGCCAGTCGATTGCTCCTGCAGGAAGAAAACCCTCCCTACGGAAGGAGAGTGTGGCTTGCTCAACAGCCCCAGAATGTGCACCTGCTGCTAGGGGGTAGGGATGTGGAAGGACTGCGCTGAGAGCACCAAACCTCAAAATCATTTCCGAATTATCTCCTGTTACCAAGTGAAAAGTGAAGAAATGAAGGCAGTTTCTTGGGCACTAGAATAAACGTACCATTTCCTAATCATTATTTCTATAGGGCTCTATGTAGAACCCCTTTTGAAGATAATTAACGGTATAAAAATAATTGTTGAAATTCTCTAATGATAAAATTTCATTTTCTTTAAGAAATAGTCTAAGCAAACTTCCTTTAAAATAAGGAATTAGTCTGTACTTAGAAAGATGTTATTCATTCACTCTAGTACAAATCATAACAAAACAATTTCTCAGGCTTAGAGAGGCCCAGGCGATTTAGGTTTCTGGCACTAGTGCTGGATCCATTTGAGAAGAAAAAACCACCAGGCTCGCACGCCACCTGCGAGATCTGCAAGTAGAGATCTACGAGGCCTCCAAATGGCGGGAAACACAGGGAAGACAGAGCATGGGTTAAACTTCGTTCAGATGCACAGTTAGATCCCACCCTTTACATTTCAAGGCATTTCCCCTGAAAAGGTTTCTGAAGGTTAAGAAAAACTACTGATCTTATTACCTGAAAATGTAACAAACTATCTTTAAAAATACATTTGTTTTGTGCTCAGATGGAGCACAAAGCCTGCCAGGCTAGGGGTGATGATCTGGCCGGTTCATCCTCCAACCGTTCCAGGCAGAAGCAGAGATGGGCGCCTGCTCCCCAGCATTTGGGCCCCCCGCAGCGTGCACAGGCCGCCAGCATTACCTGGGCCCTCTTCTTTCTGCTTTTCAGCCAGGAACGTGGGTCCTCAGGTAAAGCCTATCAAACAATTCCTTTTCAGTTTGATGTGGTCAGCTAAGCAGAAATAATGTTAGGAAATGCTAGGAAGTCTCCTGAAAGGCAAGGGGCCTGTCCCTAATTTCCTTTCCCTCCTTCCTGCTGGCTGGAATACAGATGTAATGGCTAGAGCTCCAGCAGCCACTGACCAATCATTCACTCATTCATTCAACAAATAATTATTAAGCATCAACTCTGTGCCAGGCACTGTTCTAATTGGTTGGAATATATCACCTTTGGCATGAAGCCATGCACAGGGGAAGAACGAAAAGACAAGAGGTGTCCGTGTCCCTGACACTGAACACACATACCCCGTATCATCCTGGGCTGGCTCTCTCTAGATTTCTTGAATAGAATAGAGAAATACCTTCCAATCTGGTTTTAGTCACTGCCTGTGGGCTTTTCTATTGCTTGCTGCTGAACACAACCCCAACTAATATGAAGATATTAATAAAAAGCATTAATTTTGACACAACTGATACAGGGTTTTGGACCCAATGAGGTCCTAGATTAGGGAACAAAATAGATATCCTAAACCTAAGTAACCTAGAAATCAAATATAGATCAAAAGAACAAGTCCCCATGGCTCTTCAATAGCACAGGCCAGAAGCATAAAGAGACACATTCTTATTAGCACCCTCAGACTCAAGGCAAATGGTAAAGGATTGAATACTCTCTTTCATATTCATTGTGATTCATTTGAAACAAAAACTAATTAGAAAAATCAAATCTGGATCCGATCAAGGTTTCCAGTTTACAGGAGATATAGGGGATAGAGAAAACGTGAAACACACCCCAGGCACAAGGTCAGCAAAGCCTCAAATGTGGGAAACTTGGCAGAAAAAAATGACCATTTTTTATTTTGACAAAAATAATTCAAAGGAGAATAACACCAAACCAAAAAACCAAACACTGAGGTCTTATAAATTAGAAGAGGCTTAAGAGTCATATTAAATTCACCAATCACAAGAAGTGGACCTTGCCTAGGCCTTGCTTAAACACGGTGCAAAATCGTTTATGAGACAATCAGCAGATCTGACCACTGAGTAGTTGTGTGATAACAAAAAGGATTATAGATTTAAAAAATTTATAATAGCATTGTTGAGACAGAATTCACATACTGTACCATTCACTTATTTAATGTTCACAATTCAGGGGTTTTTAATTCAGAGTTTTGCAACCATCACTAAAATTTGAGAACATTTTCATCACCTTCAAAAAACCCCATACCCATTAGCAGTCATCCTCCCTTTCTTCCCACCCTAGTGCCTGACAACCACTCATCTGTTGTCTCTAGGTTTGCCTATTCTGGACATTTCATATGAATGAAATCATATAATATGTGACCTTTTGTGACTGGTTTCTTCTGCTTAGCATCATGTTTTTTGATGCTATTGTAAATGAAATGGTCTTAGTTTCATCTTCGGATTGTTGATTGCTAGTTTATAGAAATACAACTGATTTTTGTATACTGGTCTTGTTTTCTGCAACCTTGCTAACTTGTTAATTCACTCTAACCATTTTTTTTGAGGACTCCTTATGATTTTCTATATAAAAGATCATGTCATCTGCAAAGAGAATTAGTCTTACTTCTTGTCCAATCTGCGTGCCGTTTATATCCTTTTCTTGCCTATCCTGCCTGCAGTACGATGGTAAACAGAAGTGGCAAGAGCAGGCCTCCTCGTCCTGTTCCTGATCTCGGGGGAAAGCATCTGCTTCACCATTAAGCTCTGAGGTGTGGGTTTCATTAGATGCCTTTTGTCAGGTTCAGGAAGTTGCTTTCTGTTCCTAGTTTGTTGAGTGTTTTCACATGAAAGGGTGTTGGATTTTGTCCAGTGTTTTTCCTGCTTATACTGAGATGATCATGCAGCTTTTGTCCTTTATCCATTCATATGGAGTATTACATTAACATTACCTGTTATACCAACTGTGTATTCCTGGGATAAATCCCACTTGATTATGGTACATAATCCTTTTGTAGGTGGCTGAATTCAGGTTGCTGGCATTGAGTTTTGCATCTACACTCATAAAAGATACTGGTGTACAGTTTTCTTAAGAGGTTTTAGTCTTTTGTTATTACGATAATACCTCATAGAATGAATTAGGAAGTTTCCTCCTACTTTTATTTTTTGAAAAAGTTTGTGAGCAATTAGTATTAACTCTTCTTTCAACGTTTGGCAGAATTTACTAGTAAAGCCATCTGGTCCTGGGCTTTTCTTTGAGTGAAATTTTAAAATTAACAATTCAACTTCTTTACTTGTTTTAGATCTATTCAGATTTCCTCTCTCTCTTGAGTCAGTTTTGGTAGTTTCTGTCCTATGAATTTTTCTATTTATTCTAAGTTTTCTAATTTGTTGGCATATAGTTCCCTCATAATCTATTTTATTTTGGTAAAGGTGGCAGAAATGCCACCTTTCCTGGTCCTGATTTTGGTTATTTGAGTCTTCCTTTATTCTTGGTCAGTCTAGGTGCAGAATGATCAATTTTGTTGATCTTTCCAAAGAACCAACTTTCGGTTTCATTGATTTTTTTTCTACTATTTTTCTATTCTTTGCCATTGGTTTTTAAGTGTGATAATGGTATATCACATTTTGTTTTACATAAAAGGGTCCTTATATTTTGGAAACATACTGAAGTAGTCAGAGACAAAATATTAAGATGATTGCTATTTGCTTGCAAAATACATCAGCAGGAGATGGGAAGGGGCAGTATTAGAAGGGGCGTTGATAGAGTCAGATTGGCCAACTGTTGGAAACCTGGGTGATGGGATACAGAGGAGTTCATTATACTGTTATTTTTACCTTTTTATATGTTTAAAGTCTCCATAACAAAAACTTTGAAATATTGGAAAAAATTAGAACTTTATCCTAAAAATAACACTTCCACATGGGAACTTCCCAGAACAAGTCAGCATATCTGAAATCTCTTACAAATGCATTTTGCGCCCATTTGTGATAAAGGGAAGATACTACAAGACAGCAGCTGTTGGGACATTGGCCACACTGCCCTCAGCTCCCTCGGGAAGGCCTGTGACAAGGGTCTTGTCAGTGTCCTGCACAGAGCAGGTAACATTCCTGCAGGAAAAAGAACTTTGGGGCTGTTTGCAGAAGCTGATGAAATATCCCCAGATATCAGTCATCTCTCCCTCTGTGACCAGCCAACACGGAGAGGAAAGAGGATGAGAAGCTGTTTCTCTGGACCATCTGCCCCATGGCACGTCGGGGACACCTGGGCACCATGGGATCTCAGTGAAGTGCTCGGAGAGGATTTGAACAAAAAGAATGAAACACAGGCTTTGGCCCCAAACTCATACACACAAAAGAGCAGAAGCAAAGCCCCTCGCTTAGATCTCAGTGAACTGCTTGGAGAGGATTTGAAAAGGGAGAATGAAACACAGGCTTCAGCCCCAAACTCGTACGTACAAGGAGCAGAAGCAAGGCTTCTCGCTTAGATGCGTTCTCATATTCCTAAAGCTGTGTGTGAGGAAGACCCGCCCTCCCCCAAACCCCCTGCACGCCTGCTTCCTATCCTCAGGCCTGGCTGCCCCTGGGTGGGAAAAGCTCTTCTTAGAGGGCAGAAGATGTTCCAGGGCGGAAGGTGTGTGCTGAAGTTCTCCCCAGTCTCGAGACGGGTGATCCAGGCAGCTTTAAGCTACTTCACAGCACAACTGTACAAGCTTGGAAACTGAAATTCATGCTCGTGGCAGGAACACGGTTTTTAAAAACATTTTAAAATATCAACTATAGTTTTAAAAACATCATATGGTGTTTGACCTTCCTGAAGGCACTGGTTTGCAACTTTCATTTTGTTTCTTTGTTTTTGTCATCAAGTATCAGAACCCTTCTTTCCGTATGAATCATACCCAGGAGCCCGACGTATTAAGACAGAAAGAGGACTCCGGCTCCCTCTCCTGCACGAGGCCCGGTGGTGCTCCGGGCGCCAGGACCCAGAGATGATCCAGGCCAGAGGGGCTCACACCTTTCTGTGAGGGTAACAGAGATCGACCAGATGAACTGGTGAGGATTTCACATGGGGTGACACGGAGCCACTGGACTGTGTTATGCAGGGGCTGATGTGCTCTGACGTCTGTTTCCAGGACAGTCTCTACAAGTGAGGTGTGAAGAAGATTCTGGGGAGTAAAGTGCATCGTTCTAGGAAGCGACAGGCAGTGGCTTGGAGGAGAGCTAGCTGGTGGAGGCAGGGGATTCAGGGTATGATGAGCAGTAACTCGGGAGAGCTGACGGTGGAAGCGGGGACCAGGGTGTGATGGGCAGTGGCTGGGGGAAGCTGACGGTGGAGATGGGGAGCCCGGAGTGCTGATGAGCAGTGGCTGGGGGAGAGCGGTGGAGGCGGGGGCCGGGTGTGATGGGCAGTGGCTCGGGGGAGGCAGCGGTGGTGATGGGGCAGGTGTGATGAAGGCAGTGGCTCGGGAGAGAGCTGACGGTGGTGATGGGGACCAGGGTGCTGATGAGCAGTGGCTCAGGGAGAGCTGGCCGGTGGTGATAGGGACAGGGTGTGATGAGCAGTGGCTCGGGGAGGCTGACGGTGGGGAGACGGGACCAGGGTGTGATGAGCGATGGCTCGGAGGAGAGCTGACGGTGGAGATGGGAGGCCCGGGTTGATGGGCAGGAGAGCTGACGGTGGAGATGGGGGCCCGGGTGTGATGGGCAGTGGCTTGGGGGAGAGCTGACGGTGGAGATGGGGACCAGGGTGGTAGAGGTGGAGGAGGTGAGTGTGTTTCCATTCCACACCCCCTCACAGAGCAGAACTGACAGAACATGGCCAAGGATGGGGTGCGGGGCTGAAAGGGCATTGGGCTGGCTTCTCGGGTCTGGCCTGTCCACAGGGTGGACAGCAGCTTCCTGACTGAGACAGGGGATGCTGGGGGATCAGTGTGTTCAGGGGTAAAATCAAGAGATCTCTGGTCGTGTTGTCTGAAGGACACCCAGACATCTCCGTGGGAAGGTTGAGTGGCGGTGAAATCTCAGATTGTGGAGTTCAGGGGAGGGGTCACTCTGGGGACAGCATGGGGACTCGACATCAGCGCACCTGGGGGCGCTAAAAAGCCCGGGCGTGCTCTCCTGCAGGGAGCGGGCAGACAAGGAGAGAGGAGGCCATGAAGCAGCCTGGGGGCACCCCCACATCTGGGGTCTGACACTCGGCACAGATGTGACTAGCATGTTAGCCCTGGGAGGAGAGCCTTTCCCAGAGGGAGGGAAGCATCAGGTCAGATGCGGGTGACAGGTCCAGCAGGGTGAGGCCGGAGAGCTGACCTCCCCATGTGGCCAGGTGATGTTGCTGGGACCTGGATGGGCTGTTACCATGGGGTGGCGGTGGCCTGCAGAGAGGAGGGATGTCATGCCAGTGGAGATGGGGAGTGGGGCAGCTGGGAGCAGGCATGAGAGCCAGAGGAACTTCCTTCCAAGACAGCCATCAGTACTACATGAGTGTGCCAGGAATGATATTTGGGGCAGGGGGTGTGTCTGCAGGAGACAAGCCCTGGGCCATGAGAGGGAGGGGACTGGTACCACGGGAGGGCTGGCCTTAGCCAGGTGGGAAAGTGGCCAGTGGTGACTGGCCGTGGGCAGAGGCAGCTAGGGCAGGGCTCATTCACGGCAGCTGACACGATTAGCAATCTTGCCTGCAGGGCCTACACTGGCTGAGCTGGGCAGGGGTAAAGAAGGGAAGGAATGGCGTGCTGGGCAGACCTCTCAGCCACCTGAGATGTGTAGCCACCAACTTAAGTGATGGCAGCCAGCTGACATGTGCATTTTTCCTCAGTCACGCTGAGGCCCCTGGGGAAGCCAGGAGGTCTCCACCTCTGAGGAGGCCTGGCCAGGACCCAGCCTTTGGTTTCCCTTAGCATGAAGCCCTCCATCTGGACGGCATCGAACCTCTTGTCTGGGTTTTGTTGATAAGGTTATTATCAGCAAAACCCAGAACAGAATATTCTCTATTCCTAGAACTGCCAATATTTTGAGGGTGGGACTTCTGTCTACCCTGTGTGTTTCTGTCTGACACCACAAAGGCAGGAGCAGGCTGGGGAAGTGGTCAGAACACTTGGCAAACTGCACACTGTTCTAGAAGAGGACAAGAAAACAGGGTCCTTACCGTCAGCAGGGTGGAGGAGCACCTGACGTCCTTCGGATCTGAAAGAGTAAACATGAGTCCAGGCTGAGCAGGTCTACCACCATGGCAATGCCAAGTAAGCTACGGGACCCCAGGGCAGGGCCACATGGGAGCACCGGTGGTGAAACTGGACTGTATGCGGGATTCACGTTAAATGAGTGGATGTGAGCTGCTCGTGCCACAAAAACAAAAGCGGGCGGCTGTGAGTTGCGATGGCTGTTAACTTGCTTCACTTTACTAGTAACCTTTTTACTCTCTCTATGTATCTGTAACATCATGTTGTATACCTTAGATACACACAATAAAATTTAATAAAACATAAGATGCCATCTGATACCTTTACTAAATTGGCATTGATTTCAGAAAAAAGCCATTGCCATAGCATGGCAGGTGAGGGCAAGGGCACAGCTTGGCTGGCCCACCAGCGACCCCACACATGCCCCTGCCTGTCCCCAGTCACCCGGCCTGGCACCCCACTTGTGTGCAAGGTGGGTACGGCAGATCACCGCCAGCCAATGCCAACACTGTGAACACGAACGCTACTTTAAATATGGAAAATACTTCCCAGCGTGGCCAATAATCACAAGCAGAGCATGCAGACGCCGTGTGGACAAGCCCATGATTGACATTCAGAGGACAAGCCCCAGAAGGAAAGCAAAACCAGGAAAAGCACAGCAGGGGAGCAAGGCTGGAAGAATGTCTGTAATGAGGTACTTCATGTTATGAAATTCATTAGAAATAAAAATGAGTGGAGATAAAACATCTATCTTGATACGGAACAAACATCTTTATGTAAACACCAGGAAGGCAGGAAACTTGAAAAGGAGCAGAACCAGAAGTGAGGCTTCAGCCTGTCCTTCACAGACGCCAGCGACCTGCCCTGAGCAAGGTGGGAACCCAGAGTCAGCCCCAGGGCTCTAGGTGCCGCGGGAAACCAGCCCGACTGCTTCTCGCTCCATCTCTGCAGCCCCCCTGACTACCCAGCACCTTTATCACCTTGGATGAAACTGGTTACTGGCTTGCAACCCAAGCTGAGCTCCAGGGCTGCAGGCTTCCCACGGCCACGTCCATCCCACACAACACAGGGGGACGTCATGGAGAGGCATGCAGCCGCCGAGCACACTCCTGCTGGCCTCGAGGCCCCGCCCATGCCATAGGGCCAGGTGGGTCTGCACCCAGAGGTCCGCGGCTGGCTGCGGGATATGCTGCCCTCCTGTCCTGGGCACAGCCCACAGGGCGAGGCCACTGACCAAGGACACGTGGTCGGCATGCTGGGCAGTCCCAATGGTCCACCTGTGATGTGCGGTCACCAATTTAAAGGACATCAGCCAACTCACCCCATTTGTATCCACTCACAGTGTGATGCCCCCAGGGGCAAGCCAGGGGGTCCCTCTGATATGGCTCTTCCAGGACTTTCACCTTGAGAGACTTGAGCACACATGTCCCTTGGCTGGGACACATCTGAGAACAGCTTCATAAAGGAGACTTAGAGAGGCCTGAGAAGGGAGCAGGGGACGCCCTGTCCTTTGGGGCTCACCCTGGGCAGGAAACAGGAGTGAAGGCGTAGCAGAGAAAGCCATATCCTCTGTTGATCACAAGAATGGCACGTCTGATGCCTTTAGTACCTGCCCAGGGTCAGTGATTCGGGACCAGGAGGGGCAGAAACAAACCAAGGGGTGCTTGATGTTTTCTCCCTATCTGCAAAGAGCTCCCGTTCTCAGACTCAGCATCCAGCCACTGTTGTCACAGCTGGGTCTCATCATTCAGACACAGTGTACCTCCCAGGCACGAGGGGAAAGAGTGTCAGACAGATTCCCTGGGCACGAGGTTCTGGTAGCTTGGTTTTGTTTGGCTGGAGATGAAGCATGCAGCCCTCCTGTAGGTGAGCGGGCCTGTGGCCAGAGAGGACCCAGCGACAGCGGGCATCTGGCTCACTGCTATCTGCCCAAGTTGGATCAGGGAGGCTTATTCACAAGAGCCGAGCCCTCTCCGCTTACAGAGACGAGCATCAACACAGGGCCCTGAATGCCTGGAGCGGACGCTGAGGTCCCGGCCACTGAGCAAGCTCCTTTCCCTTCCACATGTCCTCTTCTCCCCAGAGCCAGCCCCTTTCCAGTAGAGGAAGGGAACAGGAGGCTCCGTGGACTCCACCCTCAGGCAGGAGACACCCAGGGGCCCCTGTGCGCTAACAGAGAGGCCCATTGTTCTCTGGGTGGCTGGTGTCTCAAACACCTGGACAGCAGGGGCACAGACCTCCAGGTTCTAGGAATCAGAGCAGAGGAAAACTGGTGACGGAAACGGCCTTTCTCAGAACTACAGTGACACACCAGCCAGAGCTGAAAGCCACAAGTTGGCCCACTGGTGAGGGAGCCAGAGCCCCACCCATCCCACAAGGTCCCTGCTCAGGCTGTCCAGGGTGTGGCCAAAGGCTTACTCAGCCTCTGCAGAAGGGGGAAAAGGGGAGCTGAGTGCAGCCCGGGGCCCCCACTTGCTGCTCACAGCAATGGGTGTGTGTCTGAACACTCCTCATCTGAATGTTTATTTCCATTTTCACCAACAGAGAAGTGTGAGGTGAGAGTCTCCGAACTTGCAGAGTGGCCGGATGATGGTTATCTTAAAAATTAAAAGGTTAGCTTTTGCAAGACATAAAAAGTGAGCAACTAAATGGAATATGGATTAACTTCTGCATGCAGAGTTGAAGTGATACGCAATGCCCAGCACGGCTGGAGGGAGCTGGCTCTGAGTGTCCCTACCGGGCAGGCAGCAGGAGGGAGCTGTCGACTGCCATATGGTTTCACTGTGCTTTAAACTCAATCGAAGAACTAAGTGTTGAGTACAGCTTATCAGAGTGGCTGGCAGGAGTCGAGCCCCTGTCATGTGACCGCTGGGGCCACCCGGGGGTCTCTATTCTTGCTGTAACTGTCCTGAGTCTTCTCAGCACCAGAGCCTGCCGGATCTCTACTTCAAAAATGAATTTCAAACTCAGTTAAATCAAAAGTTTGCTACTGAATCTGAAATGGAATAAGGGATTTGATTTTCCAAGAGATACCTTTTACCCAGTTAAGATATTAAGTAAGTCTTTTATAACACTGTCCAAGACATATCTTATCAGAAGGCAAAGAGCTGACTGGGTCCAATTCAGGTTTCGGTGGCAAGATGGGCGTGAGAGGGAACAGCCTGTGGGGAAATGGAAGACTCCCAGGCACCAACGCCTGATGCTGAGGCAAGGGAGGGCAGGAGGAAGGAATGTAGACACGGGTCACTCCAGAAATCGGGGGAGAGTAGAAAATCCAGCAAGACCAGGAGAGAACCGGCTCCCCAAGGAAGTCTCCCTGACGAGAAGAGCGCTGAGGCAGCCACGGGCAAACAGGGCGCCTGGCCACGCAGCTCTCACACTCGTCCCTGAGGCCCACCCGAGCAGGGAAACCCGAGGCCTCCCTTGGTGGGCGGTCTCCAAGGCCACGTGCACTTACGTTCAATGAGGAAGAGAAAGCACACTATCCCCATGGCTGCCACGATGGCCCCAGGCACAACGAAGGACAGGCCCCAGCACGTGGACACCCAGTAGCCAGCGATCAACGACCCCAAGATGTTGCCTACGGAGGTGTGGGAGTTCCAGACCCCCATAATCAAACCTCTCCTGTAACACAACAAAACAGAAGACAGAAGATGGAGCTGAGAAGCGGAAACGAGTCCAGCAGTGCAGGGCACAGCAGTGTCTGTAAAGCAGGCAGTCAGCGCAGAATCAACGAGGACCGTGCAGACTCCGCTTCCGTGGCATGCAGGACCCACGATGCTCACGAGAGCTGATCTGTTTATGTGGCCTCAGGCTGTGCCATCACCCATTCCACCTCTCGCTCTGAGCGCATTGTGTACTCAAGAAAAAAGAGGCCTTTCTCTGAAAGTCTTGGAAGGCCTGAAATTAAAATTTGTGCCTCTACAATCAATTAATACAGATAGTCACTTGATGAACTGTCATTTGAACAAAACTCATGGAGGTACACAGCAGGTGAATAAGGCACAGTATCTAAGACTTAAGACCTGATGACGCCAGTGTTCCCGTTTTAGCTTCTGCATCTTGTTTGGTATCTTCTACCAGAAATAAGCCTTTGGCCTGGCTGAGCTGAATTTTACACAGCCATTTACAAATAAATCTGGACTCGCCAGAGGCTGGGTCCCAGCTCTGCTACTTTGGTGCTGTGTGCTGGGTGACTCAGGTCGGGACTTCCCAAACTCCCATGTTAACATGTAGCTTCGGCTTCAAAAGGCCTGGGGCAGGGTCCTGGACTCTGCATTTCCCACAACACCCGGGAGTCCAGATGCAGCTGTCAGAGGAGCCGTTGAGTGACACAGACTCCACCAGGCACACAGTGGGAGGGAGGAGCGCCCCTGTCTCGTGGGACACAGGCCATCTGAATTTCAGCAATTCAAGCCCCAGAGGTTTCAGCCATCTTATTTTAAAGAGGATACTAAAGTGTTTTTGCTGTAATCAGTCTACAAAAAAACTCAAAGTAAAATGGTCTAGTTTTCATCTGCTATTGGAAACAGGGCTGCTTTTCCTCACCTTCCTTTTCCAAACCAGTTGCCGAGGCAGGTGACGACGCTGGGCCAGCCGGTGGTCTGCACCAGCCCGTTGATGACCTGCGGGAGAGGCGAAAGGAGAGACTGACCCACGGGAAGCAGGCCTGGGAGAGCACCGCAGGGAGGCGCACGGGGCTTGCCCCGCTCACACAAAGAGGGGGGTATGACAGCCAGAGATGGACTGTCAATTGTATACTTATATACCGTTTAAACTACATATGTATTTTTAAACCATGTACACAGGTATCCATATATTTTTCAAAATAAAAGTAATGCATGTCTGTTGTGGAAATTTTAGAATAAGTAGAGAAAAGCAAGGAAAGAAATCCCAGGCAGAACCCCACCACCAGGAGATCACACCTCATAACAGTGTGGGGCCAAAGCTTTACAGTCTCTTTTGAATCTAAAAACTTCATAGAAAGAGGCTGGGTGCAGTGGCTCATGCCTGTAATCCTAGCACTTTGGGAGGCCGAGGCGAGAGGATCTCTTGAGTTCAGGAATTTGACTCCAGCCTGGGCAATATAGAGACCCCCTTGTCTACAAAAAATTAAAAATTAGCCAGGTGTGGTGCACATCTGTGGTTCAAACTACTCAAGAAGCTGAGGTGGGAGGACTGCTTGAGCCTGGGAGGTCAAGGCTGTAGTGAGCTGTGATTGCACCACTGCACTCCAGCCTGGGCAACACAGTAAGGCCCCATCTCAAAAAATAAATAAATGCAAACTTTTTAAAGAGAGAAAAGCTTTCTTCTCTTTATAGAACTGTTTATAGAATTGTACGATAAATATGGCTTGTGAATTGCATGTTTTCCCTCACCAGGCCATGGAGAAGGTACTGTTGTTCATCATTCTCTGGAATGAACACAGCCTTGACTTCACGCCTGGACAAAGTATCTCCTTCTAAAGAATCCCTGACTTGAGTTTCATGAAGGGACTTGGGGAATGTATTGCTGAGGACGCTCTAGCATCCTGAGACTTGGGGGTGGCTCTACAAGACTGCAGGAAACCAGGGCCAGCCTGGCACCTCCGACCACCTCACTGCGCAAGCCAGCTCTCTAGAGCAGGGTCTCCAAACCCGGGCACAGACTAGTCCTGATCCGTGGCCTGTTAGGAACCAGGCCACACTGCAGGAGGTGAGTGGTGGGAGGGCGAGCATTGCCACCTGAGCTCCACCTCCCATCAGATCAGTGGCGGCCATTAGATTCTTATAGGAGCGCGACCCTGTTGTGAACTGCACATGCCAGGGATCTAGGTTGTGTGCTCCTTATGAGAATCGAATGCCTGATGACCTGAGAGGGAACAGTTTCATCCCCAAACCATCCTCCTCTCCCCAACCTTGGTCCCCGGTGGAAAGACTGTCTTAAAAACTGGTCCCTGGTGCCAAAAAGCTTGGGAACTGCTGCTCTAGAAGACACCTGGGAGCTGCTGGTCTACCTATTGCTGCCTCTGGGCTGACCGGGCTGGGCCTTCACTCCAGAAACATGCTGGGACTCTGGAAAATTGTTTTCTCCTCCCTTCTAATTTTCTATATTACTACACAAGTGTGAACTGCTTTTGTAATTAAAATAGCCAAACTTTTCAAGTGTTATGGCAAATCTTCAAAGCAAAATTAAATACAATTTGCCTTGATGGTTTTAATTATTCCCCTGAGCTATCTGGGGAGCCCCCGAAGCATCACAAAGCCTGAGATGAGCATCATTATTTCCCATTGTTTTCCTCGGCTGCTGAATATTGATCCATAGCACTGCTGGGAAAGGCAGAAGCCAGGAGACTCCGGAAGGGCTCCAGCTCCAAGGGCAAGCCAGTATGGGCTGCCCTCAGGCCTTCTCCCCTTCTAGCACCTTCAGGATCTCTCCTGTTCTCTCCACTGACTGCCTCATACCCCCTCCTGCTGCCTGACTCCAAAGTCGGCCCTTCCTTCCACCCTTGCATCCCTCTGTAGAGTCCTCAGGTCTCCCCCCTTTTTCTCTCACTGTGACCTGACCAGCTGCATGTTTTCCTTTGTAGGCTGGAACCCAAGTTGGCCCCTGAACACTCCTAGGCACTGACAAAAGTGTTTCAGTTGCTGACTCAAAACATGGAAAGAAACTAGCCCTGGCCCTGGGCCAAATTCCTTAAACCTCATACGAACTCCATACACCGATCCCTCGCTGCAGACAGACCTGCGTGGAACGCCCTGACCACTGCGTGTCAAGACTATATACTACAGCCCTCGGTACGTAAGTTCCCCTAATACATGCTTTAAACCGATCACCCAGCAGTTAGTGCTGTGTTCTTTGGAATCCCAACCAGCCCCATCTTGGGATGGTTTGGGGCACTCCCTGGTGGGAACTCCCTGCCACCGCTGTTAGGGTGACTCCAGCTAGGGCTTCAGCTGGAGGACACACCCTCCAACCCCAGTGGTCAAATCTTTAGCAAGATGAAACATCTCAAACTTATCCACATGAAGACAGGGTGACCCCTAAGGGCTCTGCACGTCAGTCTCCCTGCCGGGGCGCCGACAGGCGCATTCTTTATGAGGCAACTCCTGAAACTAAGAAACACCTCCTGGCTGCTGGAGTTTCCGAGAAGAGAAAGGAAGGACTTGATTATGTCAGCTGACCCTGACTTCGGACAGGACATACTTCTGCCCCTTCCCAACATCTTGACAGAGGTGACATGTGACACAAACACCCCACCCTATTCACCAAGGAAACCCCATACGTGGTGAGCCATGGACCCAAACCCTTACCTGAGTTACCACGTAGAATCCGAAACTGTGGATGTTGTAGAAATACCCTAAGCCGAACAGGGCGGTGAAGGCTCCACTGGCGAGCATCCCGAAAGTTAGGTAATACCTAATCGGCAGGCGTTCCCCAATTATGCCACTGAGGTGGAGAGAAGGAAAGACAAATAGGAATAACAAACACACCTGAAAGTTAACAACCCGGCGGCTGTTTCGTGCCGGATGCTTTCGTGCTGTTCTCTGAGCTTGGGGAACTCTCAAGCCTTACAATTTCCAGGAAGATTTCTTACACCTATTTCCCTATGGAGTGTTTACTCACCAGAAACCAGAGACTGGCAACATCCTAGAAGATTTTATTTCTAGTCAATGTCACTATCTGTCAAATAAAAAAATTCAAACGCCATGACTTATTTATGATAGTTGCCAATGAAAGGAAACAGGAACTTGTCTTGCTAGTTAATCCTGCTTTCACATAAACCATATCCAGTAAATGTATACAATGTCTTAAATTCCAACTGTCGAACTACACCAAATGTCATGAAAAGAGATCACTTATGACCCTGAGCAAGTCACTCGGCCCCACGAGCTGTAATGAAGTCACCTGTGTTAATACACCTGGCTGGCTGGGCTCAGTGGGGAAGTGGCTTGCAGCTGTTTGCCACTACCACCTCCTGCCACACCACTTTGACCTGATTTAAAGGCAGAAGATTTGTTCCATGGTAAGGTCTGAAATGCTGGGGTGGCATCTCTCTGATCCTTCTGAACAGCAATGCAACTCACTAATCAGCTACCCTTTTTGGTGTCTTATCTTCTAGAGCTGTCTGGAGATCCAGTGGCATAAAGGGTGCTTAGCCTCACTAAAACAGCCTCGATGGGGGTGGTAAAGCACGCCTCCAGCTTCACAGCAGGGCACAGACTTAACAGTCTTTAGCTGCCATCACAGCACACTACCTAATGTTATCCAAAACATCCCTTACTGTTTTACAGGAAATGTCACTATGGACCAAGTTAACACTGTGACTTATTAAGTAAATAGAAAAGCTGTAGAGCGTCATGGATGGACGTGAGCCCTTCGCAAGCATCAGAGACTCTATGGGTCTCACTTTCATCTGGAGGGCCACTCTAGGAGTCAGATAAACAGGAAACCTAACACACAGTGACACCTGCCTGCCGTGAACCCCACTCCCGGAGTCAGCTCCAATGTTCTCAGTTTTCATCTCAAGAACCTACACCAGAGAGCTTTTCCTTCCCAATTCACCAAGTAAAAAAGATCTACCTCGGATCAAGGAAATGATCTTTTAAACACTAAAGCAGAAGAAAGTAACTTAAAATTATGACAACATCCAGGTAAAAATTTCAGCTAAAACCTCACCACACACAGACTCAAGAGCATTATAGAGCTAGAGAGTTACCGACTTCAACCTGCCCACCCCAGAGACCAGGAGCTAGGCCCCTGAGAGGCTAGCTGACCTGCCCACCCCAGAGACCAGGAGCTAGGCCCCTAAGAGGCTGGCTGACCTGCCCACCCCAGAGACCAGGAGCTAGGCCCCTTTTTGAGACCAGGCTAGGCTTGGCCCCTGAAGCCTTTACAGCCTGCCCACACCCCAGAGACCAGGGCTAGGCCCTGGAGGCTGGCTGACACTGCCCAGGTCACAGCACAGCTAGCCCAGAACCAGATGGGCAGAGGCTGGCTGACCTGCCCACCCCAGAGACCAGGAGCTAGGCCCCTGAGAGGCTGGCTGACCTGCCCACCCCAGAGACCAGGAGCTAGGCCCCTGAGAGGCTGGCTGACCTGCCCAGGTCACAGCACAGCTGGCAGAACCAGATGGGCTCCTGAGAGGTGGTGCTGCTGGCTAGGCTTAGAAGTGTTCTCTAATCTTGCTGTATGATTTGGGCCCACTTTGATCTCTACTGAAAAGTTTTAAAGAAAAGGTCTAATTGAACAAACACTATTTCACATTATATGGGACTCATACAGGGATTCAAGTCCACGCTGCACCTGCTTGAACCCTCCAGGCAGTACCTGGGCTGAATGACGGTACCCTCTCATATCTGATTTCATCTGGCGCAGCGAGCAACCACCACCCGTTGCTGAGACCTCAGGTAGGGACTCGCACAAAAAGGCCCTTCAATGCAGCAGCGTGTGCCCTTGTTTCAGTCATGAGTTCACTGTGTAGATGTCACATTAGACCAAATTTTGTTTTAATAACCTTACTGACAAGGTGCATAAGAATTATCTTTACCGATAAATAAGCAACAAGAAACCAGTTTCTTTACGTAAAGCAGGCTTTCTGAACCTCAGCACTATTGATATTTTGGCTCTGGTAATTCTGTGGCATTAGGGGCTGTCCTGCGTATTGTAGGATGTTTAGCAACACCCTGGTTTCTAGCCACTAGATGCCAGCAACATCCCTTCCCTGGCTGTGACACCCACAAATGTCTTTAGACATTACTAAATGTCCCCTAGGAGATAAAACTGCCCCCAGTTGAGAACCAGATTTAAATACAGTTTTCTAGTAACTGAGAAAAACATACTCCCCCTTTGGGTCTTTTTATACCGCAGATTATTTGTGTTCAGTAAGACTGCGGTCTAGGGAATATAAACATTTGACCTCAAAATGGAGAAGGTCTGGCAGCCTGGCTGAGACCCAGGCCCGAAGGAAGCCCAATGTACACACCACTCTCTCCAGCTAGGCTCATGTTCGGCTGCGCATCACACACTCTGAGCTTCCAAACCTTTATTATTTGCTCACTCAGACAAGTTCTGCAGCAGGAGGCAAATGCACACGTTCAACAAAGGGAGAGCTATGCGTTCTCCTCCGACAGCAGACACTGCCTGCCTGGGCACCACCCACCCACCAGGGCTCTGAGCGGGGGAGATCCCACACTGAGCGGGTCTCAGGGAAGCAGCTAAACATTTATGGGGATCCCTGCGGTTCTCCAGGCTATAAAGACCTCTGTCTCTGAACAAAAGCCTCTTGGGACTACATGCCTCCGTTCCCGGCTGTGGTTTCGCTATGGTTGGCCTCCATCAAAACTTGTGTTGAGGCTTGGCTCCCAGTATAACTGCGCTGAGAGGTGCAGGGAGCTTTGAAGGGCATTTGGGTCATGAGGGATCTGCCTTGACGAACGAATGAATGTGCAGGAGTAAGTGGCCGCGCTCTCAGGACTGATGAGCTATCGTGAGAGGTGAGAGCGGGCTGCTATGAAGCAAGGTCACCCCTGTGCTGTGTGTTTTGTACGCCCTGCTCACTGCTAACCCATCTCACAGGGGCTTCTGCCAGGCGACGCCCTCCACTACATTACAGTGTGACACGAGGCTCTTGCCAGATGCAGCTGCCCAATCCTGAACTTCCCAGTTAGGTAAGAGCTAAATACACCTTTTCTCATTATAAATTACTCAATCTCAGATGTTGTGCTACTAGCAACAGAAAATGGGCTAGAACATCCCTATACTGCCTTAAAAAAAAAACCTAGCTGGACTGCCACAATAGCAGTTTTCAATCAGTCAGTCACATGTTCTATGATCCATATAACATTTGCCACCTGCCTTGGTCAGTTCAAAGTGGGATGAAGAATGGGCTGGGCTGGCAGCACAGGCCAGGCACCACTCTGAGCTTCTACATACATTAACTCAATCTTTGCTGCAATCCTGTGACATAAGAACTATTATTTCTCCCATGTTGCAAAGGGGAAACTGAGGTCCAAAGAGGTATAGTAACTTGCCCAAGACCACATCCTAGCAGGTGGTAGAGCTGGGATTCAGATCCCAGCGGGTCTCTCTCTGGAGCTCCCTGCCCGCCACGCAGGGCTGCCGCTGCTGCGCTCAGAGTTCTGGGGCCAAGCTGGGCATCCAGGTAGAGCTGTTCCGCACATCCTGTGTCAACTGTTCCGATCATCAGGTGAAATTCGTTATTTGGGGCATGTAAACAGATGGCAGCCCCTGAACCACAGGAGAGGTCGGGCTCTGCTAAACAGGAAGCTAGTCCCCTTGTTCCTGAATGGCCACGTCCCAGGATCAGCAGGATTCATGGTAGGTCCTAAACCCCAGGGCCAGGAAAGCTGAGGGCAGCCTGTGTCAGTTGGCACAGTGCCTGGGACACGGAAATCCTCGGCCTTGAGGTCCCGTGTTGTGGGCACAGCACATGCGCTTGCTCTCTCCTAAGCTTGGCCTCATTTTTGGGAAGGGAACAGCAGGGAAGCCACTGGCAAGTGGGGGCCTCACTCCCGCGTGCCTGTGCACTTCAGCATAGCGGACGCCTTCTCTGCACGGAGGGGCCAGATAACCAGGAAGGGTCTGGAAAACCAAAGAGCTATGAGCTATCGTGAGAGGTGAGAGCAGGCCGCTATAAAGCAAGGTCACCCCTGTACTATGTCTGCTTTGTACGTACCTGAGGTACATCCCCACGGCATAGGCGCACAGGAAGGAGTAGTCCAGGGCCCCAAGCAGCTGCTGATAGTTGTTCTTATCTACACGAATTTGAAAATCAACAGGGAAAGCTCAGTATTGTTTAGTTTATGTTCTAGAGCACGGCTATAAAACACAAAGCATCTGTTCTCTAAATCTGGGTGTACTTAGTGAAACGCGTGGTTTTCCACATAGAAAACAAGGCGGTACATTTTCCGTTCAGTTTCTCGCAAAGGAAAATGAAGTCATCGCAGTTTCAAATAATCACTAAATATAATGCAGGCATCGTTCAGATGGGATAAAATCCCCATTGTGCATGGTGGCTGCACATTTGATTGATGCCTTTTGTTTTATGTGTCCACTGGCTTTTCTGCAGCACGCCTGCCTAGGCCAGCACCCACACCAGCCCCTCGTGTCTCTCTCTTCTTCCCGCCCACAGAACTATGCCCTGCAAGTCTGAAATACAAAATGCAAATGATCTGCAGCACATCTCCCTATTAAGAGAACCTTCTTTCAGGAGGAACAGCTCTGCACACAGGTGCTACGGACACAGTGGCGGTGAAGTCACGTGCTCTTGAGTAGGAGAGAGGGCTGTCATGGAAATGCAGTTTCATCTGGGAACGGCATTACTGTTGCTAAAATTATTAACAGCAAGGCTGGAAGAACCTTGGAAGGACAGCCGCTTCAGCTCCTGGACGGACCGATGATCGACTTACCAAATGGTGCCCAGCCACAGTCGGTCTCATTGTCAGGGAGCTGGCGGGGGGCAATGGACCCAGACTTGCTGCTCTGGCTGCTGAATCTGCCGTCAGCTTCATCCCAAGCAGTGCAATACTTGTGGAGCTCACCCTGGGATGTGATGGGAGGGCAGAAGCAAGGAGAGGAAGTGCCTTCAGTGAGGCTCCGCATGGGGCACAGAGAGGAACAGTCACCCCTCCCCTCCCAGCAGCCTGCCCAGGACACCTGCACCCTGCATTCTAACAGAAACACAAGGCGCCGCTGGCAGTGTGTCTGCAGGACCCACAAGAATGCCTGCTGGTGACGTTTCAGCAGGACTCTCCAGCAACCGCACTCCTGAGCGCACAACGAACATAAGCCATCTTCATATGCCACTGGAAGACAAGCCTCAGGAGCAGTTTTAGTCCTAAGAGCTCCAAGCTGAAAGCCGACTGCCTGTCATCCTTGACCACCTGTCCATAAGGCAGAAGGGGTATATTTTCCTAGATTCACACAACTGAATGCTACACACCAATGAAAAAGAACAAGTCACAGGTCTAAGCAACAATGAGGATGAACCTCACAAACATAACATGAAGCAGAAGCCAGACACGAAAGAGTACGGACTGCAGCATTCCACTCATAGGAAGTCCAAGGATGGACAACGAATCCCCGCGGCTAGAGGTGACAGTCACGGTTACCTAAAGGGGGACAATGCGGGACAGGGAATGGGGAGCTGTCTGGGAGCTAGAAAGGGTCCGTCCCTTAACCTAGGGGATGGCTACCCCTATGGGCATGTACAGATCTGCCAAGCTGGACACTGAAGATCTGTATACTTTACTAAGTGTAAATCACACTTCAATTTAAAAATATCCCTGGGGCAGGGCACCACCCGCCCCCCAAACTAGCCACAGAACCAGCAAGCAGGGCCAGGGTTGGAGGCACTTGTCTGGGAGGCGGGAGGAAGGGAAAGCCGTCGCCCTGGGGTTTGGTTACCAGCTGTGTGAACATGTTACTTGCCGCCCCTGCCTCGGTCTCCCCCTCTGCAGACGAGGCTGCTGCCCAGTTACAGAAGTCACTGGGACCTGTGACGCTGAACTCCAGGCTTTTGCACAGAGCTTAGGATGGCATGGCCCTTGTGAAACAAACCCTGGGGAGAGAGGAAAGCTCGTCTGTCGGGAGGCAGAGGGGCCTGAGTGGGCTTTCCCTCAGTGCACTCCTTGGGAAGAGGAACAACACCTACAAGACAGCGCCATATGTGGCAGGGGCCCGTCTCGTTGTGGGGTAAGCTGAGGAAGACAGAATGTGCTCTGTGACTGTGTGTCCCTCCCTGGTGGCCTCTGTCACTCCCATGCTTCTCTTCTTGGGGGTCTCTGTAGTGATCACTCTGCACTAGTCAAGACTCAAAGGAGCTGGCCCATCAGGCGTGAGTGATGGCGGAAAGTGGGGTCCTTGTGGTCAGAGGGGTGTCCCTTAGGGGGACTGAGTGCCCGCTCAGTGCCCATAATACCAGAGGGGTGTCCTCGTGAGCTGGAACCTGAGAGAGGCCAGGGGTCTGGAGGGCAGTGCACAAAGCTGGCTCCAGGTCAGGGCACAGAACGCTGGGCAGGGAGCCACCCCAGTGACCACGCAGGCCGCAGTCGGAAGTCCTGTCCCCCTCTCTTCAGGAGGGAGTGGCCAACAAGGCTAGCCGCCTTCAAAAGGCCAGGGCTTTTGAATCGAGGCTACACACCCTGATTTATAGCTGGCAGCATGTGGGCCACGTCACTGAGTCCTGGCATGGCACACGGGATGCAGCTGCTCCACTGTCATGTGACTCTGTCGTCATCACTGGGCTGTTCTGCTATAATTAAACACTGTCCCAAAAAAGTAGCCAAGGGCTCTACTTTACAATGCAAAGTCATCATCTGCCCAGCAGCTCCCTTGGCAGAGCTGGTCCTCCCTGGAGGCGCCATGCTGACCTCCTGGCATGTCGGGAAGAGTGCTTTCATTTGCTTCCTGACTGCTCGGGGCCCCCTGGCCATTCCTGCTTGTGTTTTAAATTCTCCACCCAAGGTGGATGTGAGGGGCTGTGAGTGTGATCGTGAGACCCGGGCCGGGTGCCTGCAGCCTTTCCTCTCTGTATCCAGCTGGTATCTGCGGCCTTTCTCCATGCACCTGCCGCCTTGTTGGACACTTTCCTCCTCAGTGCCTTCAGAAGTCAGGTGTCTCTGCCCACCTTTCCCTGCAGCCTCTCACGGAAGCCAATCTGGCCACACCCAAAGGCCGAAGCATCGCCACCATTCACCTCTCACTGAAGAAAGCCACGGCTAGGACAGGAGCACAGGACACTCCCCGGCCAAGGAGAACCATGTGCAGGGATAAGCTGAAGTTTCTAACATTAACCTGGCACAGAAGAAAGGAAAAAGAGATGCTGCAGGCCGCCGCTTAAAACAGAATTTTATCCTTTGTGATTTCATATTTCTGGGAGGAACCACCTGCCGAAAACATATCTGATTAGAAATGCTCCTTTTTTTTCATAAATAAGCAGTAAAGTTTTTCTAGTTTTGTTATGTAATGAGTAGGGGCCTCACATCCTGGTTAGGGATACAGGCTTCAGCAGCAGACAGGCCTGAGCTGGGATCTTGGTGCCTCTCTGTGGCTTCTGACCTTGGTGACATCACTTACACTCCCCGGTCATCAGTTATGGAGTTGGCATGACAATGCCTGTGTCCCAGGATTGCTATAAAGATGAACCATAAACGGAGCACACCTCTCTGGCCCTCCACCCCTGGGAAGGGCTCAGGAAAGGGCTGCTGTGAGTCCGGGTGCCTCTCCGGCCCTTCTCCTTGTTGTTGGAAAGGTCACCTCCATCTGCACCCCGGAGCCCCGTTGGAAGGCTGCTGCCAAAGCAATCAAGATTTCATATAACTCCAGCACAAAGGGTTCTGAGGATATTTACATAACCACAGGTTTTCAACAACGTTGCTATATTTCAGTATTTCTATGAGTTTTACCCCCCAAACCTGGTGTCTGAGGGACAATGCAAACTTAATTAGGTTAAGATGAATTGTTAAGCAAACCCCTTGCCAGGTGAACAAATTCTCACCAAAGTGCTTCATGGAGGCACCCTCACCTCTGCACAGCCACACCATCCCTGCAGAAATACTTGGGGAGGGGGTCAAGTCCTTTGGGAAACATCTGCTTTCATAAAGGCAGCTTTCTTCACACGTTTTTACACAAGTGCCTTTCAACAAGTTACAAACTCAATCAACCCACGACATCAGGTAGATATTAAAAACTGATCAGGCAAAAGGCTCTGCGGCAACTGAACTCCACACTTACGATGTGAGGCGGGGAGGCTGAGTGGGTCCTGTGAACATGTGGGCGTCGCGGCTGCTAAAGCGTCCATGCAACACACAGAACAGCAACAAAAATAAACAGCAGACGGGTGGAGGGTGGGGGTGGGAGAAGAAAGGTGCCAATCTTGTGGAAGAACACAGGGAACCGCCAGGAGTCACAGCGCTACAAGTGTGCGGGGAAGGCAGCAGGGCCGGGAGTCACAGCGCCACGAGTGTGCGGGGAAGGCAGCGGGGCCGGGAGCTGGCAACGTCTTCTGTCTACAGACTCCCTGGCCACCTCCAGCCCTCCCCACCCCTCCCACTGGCAGCGAGAGGAAATTCCATCCAGGGAGCAGCAGGCAGCTGCAGCGGGAATTTCATGGCACTAGAAAAGACTGGACTCCTCATCCTGCACCTGCAGAGACCCACGCGGCCATTTAGGCACAAACGTTCACTGCATTAGCCTGCATTCCAGCAAGGCTCCATTCTTTCCACGCTGAATTCGAGCCACTTCGCAGAGAGAAACCACTCATTCCCACCCTGGGTTCTCAGCCCCACCATTGCCTAAGGCTACAGCCACGGGACACATTCTCTGCAGGAGGTACGCGGCCTCCAATAGAGGAGATTACCCAGTGGTCTGGAGGGTGCAGGAGACACTGAAAGGCAACAGTGAGGGGACAGGACAAGAGCAGGGGATTCGGGCCTCACTGAATCCCCCTGGAGGACAGTGGGGTTAGGCCAGTTTCACTCCACCTTTAGCCAACACAGAGGGTGTATGTGTGTGCGTGTGTGTATACATATCATCCGCATTGGATGATCTGTCTAGTCAACTTTACGTGGCTCGTTAGGCTGTGTGGGTGCACTGATTCTAACTAGTCCTTCACATTCCTTTTATAAGGCTACAAGAATTCTCCAAAGCATTATCTAAGTCCTGGAAGACCAGTTAAAGTTTTGGTACCAAAAGTAGGAGCGACCAGACAGGCTCTCCCCCACGGACGACAGCATCTGCCCACGGCCAGCCTCCCGCGATGAGTCACAGTTGCCACGTGAAATGCATTATACACATTCGGGCACAGGCACGCAAACGCTCCACTCATGAAGGATACAAAAATAGATGGAGGAGCTTCTTGGTCATTGTTTACTTCTCAAAAATGGAATCATTCTGTACATCCTTATGCACATGTTAACTTCTTACTCAAAATGCCTCCTGGAAATGTTTCTGAGTCAACTGGTTTGCCTCTGATAAATTCTTTTCATAATATGGACTTGTCACCATTTATTCAAACTTTTACCTGCTTATTGGGTTCCCTCGATACCCAGCATTGGTTTTTTCCTTTTTCCTTTTTTTGGTCACTACAAACAAAGCTGCCATAAAGACGCTTATGAAGACATTCCCAAGTAAGGTGCTTTTATTTTTAGGGTGAAACTCCCAGAAGCATGTCTGAAGGCTGTAGTATTTATTTCACTGGGTGTCACCAAAAGGTGCTGACACTCGACATCCCATCAAGAAAGCATGAAAAGTCCTCTCCCCTCACGGCCAGTGAACAGGGCTTACTGCTCTGGGCAATGCTGTGCCAGCCACTGAGCACACTGTTGCCTTAATCTGCTTTTGGAATACCAGCAGACTTGAACACCATTCACACATTTCCTGGCAATCTGAATTCCATGTCTGTGAACTGCCTGTTCATCCCCCTTGCCCGTTGTTTCTTTGGGTTTCCTAACTTCACACTTACTCCTACGATAAACATAATTTTCTTCTTGGATTTTTACTTTTTGTGTTTTACATTCATATCTTTAATCCATTTGTTTTTATTTTTTTGAGATGGAATCTCACTCATGTCGCCCAGGCTGGAGTGCAGTGGTGTGGTCTCAGCTCACTGCAACCTTCACCTCCTGGGTTCAAGCGATTCTCCTGCCTCAGCCTCCCCAGTAGCTGGGATTACAGGCGCCCATCACCATGCCTGGCTAATTTGTTTTTGTATTTTTAGTAGAGATAGGGTTTCACTATGTTGGCCAGGCTGGTGTCGAACTCCTGACCTCAGGTGATCCACCCACCTCGGCCTCCTAAAGTGCTGAGATTACAGGCGTGAGCCACCGCGCCCGGCCAGTTTTCTCCTTTTAAGTCCTGTGTGTCTGGAGAGGGGTGGGCACACACACATTCAAATCAATGCTGCCATCCCCCTGGCTCCAGGGACCCCTGCAGTTTAGGCTTCTCTGGGAAGCCTCTGCTTTCAGGTTTCTGCTCTGGCCCAGCCCAGGGGAAAAGAACTCCCACTAAGATCTCTGCTGGGAGAGTGTAGAACCACCTGTCTACCAGCTTGGGCAGACTGCCTTGAGTCCTGAGGCTGGGCCACAGCTGCAGCAGCAGGTAGAAGGGACAGGATTGCACTTATAACACCACTATCCTCCCAGCCCTGGTTTTATCATCATCATCGAGAAAAATACAATTCACCAGCAGTGATCAAAGGTAATCTAAACATTCCAGACCAACTGAAATGTGACCTGCTGTGCCATGTCATTCTATAAATGACATAATAGAATGAGAATCACTTTCTAATTCACAGCTCCTGGCTCGATTTCAGGTAAGCAAACGTATTTTGCTTTTGTTTTGCTTGCAATGTTCTAGGAAATGCGGCTATAAATAATCACTCAACTGTTTTGTGGGTCGACAGAATCACTGCTACTTTCCGTTTCATTGACGCCTTTCATATCACGGGCTCAAGCACATGGGTGCTTCATAAGGCACTGCAAAGTTGAGTTTAGATGTGGTGTCATGTTCTGATCTGTCTTCCAAGGTGAAGAAACCCATGGGATTCAGCGTCAAGCTAGTCCATGCCCAGGCCCATCACAACTGCCAGTTCGGGAAATCTGTGTGTTTAGGAGGCTCGAGTGTGATGCTGGGAGTGTACTCAGGTAATTACACCCGGACAGACCCTGAGGCACAGAGGAGAAGAGCGGGGGCCCTGGAGGCAGCCTGACCCACAGGGAATTCTCCAGTGCATGGCAGCCCTGCCTGGGGGAGCGAGGCCCCGAGCCTCAGTTTCCTCACAGGGGCACTCACAAGGTTGCTGTGAAGGTCACGGGGTAATGTGTGTGGCACTTTGTCATACCCTGGGGCTCTGTAAGCGGCAGTTATTTATACTGTTACTTATGACACTGAACTAAGAGCTGACCCTGACGCTGCCTCCTCAGAAGCCCTAAGCCCTGAGTGGCCTGGACAGCACCACACACAAGAGTTGGGGCAGGGGCTTTAAGATGGACCACCAGGGAAGCCGGGAGAGGGACCGGGGCGGGCTCCCACTTGCTCCTGGCTCACAGGGGCCCTCGTGGTCATCAGGTGGACCCCAACAGCTTTGACCACTGACAAAGATCCCTCCAAGGGCCAGCCCATCTTACGTGCTACATCTGCCCCCCCCAGCCCGTCAGGTGGTGGCTTCATGGGGACGCCCACCCCTGCACATAGTACTCAAGGCAGTTCTCCCACCTGCAAAGCTGTTTTTCTTCCCCTACAATCCACACCCAACATTTCCAGGCCAATCCTGAAACCCCACGCAGGCTCCCCGACTACACCAGATCCCTCAACTCCAATGCGCTCACCAAGTCTCTTCAATAGGTACTTCTATCTTTATAATTTACCACTTTCTTGAGCTGTTTGTGTATTTCTCTACCAGAAAGACAAGAAGTAGCAGTATTCAGATTTATAATGACTGGTTATCGGCACTGATTTATTTATTTATTTTTTTTTGGAGACGGAGTCTCGCTCTGTCACCCAGGCTGGAGTGCAGTGGCCGGATCTCAGCTCACTGCAAGCTCCGCCTCCCGGGTTTTCGCCATTCTCCTGCCTCAGCCTCCCGAGTAGCTGGGACTATAGGCGCCCGCCACCTCGCCCGGCTATTTTTTTTGTATTTTTTTTAGTAGAGACGGGGTTTCACTGTGTTAGCCAGGATAGTCTCGATCTCCTGACCTCGTGATCCACCCATCTCGGCCTCCCAAAGTGCTGGGATTACAGGCTTGAGCCACCGCGCCCGGCCTATCGGCACTGATTTATAATGACTGGTTATCAGTACTGACTTATAGCGACTGGTTATCGGTACTGATTTGAGAGTCTCTTGTCAAGCAGATGAGTGTTTCTAAAGGTCCACCGCCTCTTTTCATATTCTTCTCTTAAAAACCACATTTTTTAAGGTCTGCAAACGTTTTCCACAGTCAACAACTTGAAAGGCATGGAAGTTTCTTGCTTACCAGGGGCCAAGGGGGAATTTTAGAATCTTTTGGGTAAATGAATGTTTAACATCCCCTGAAAGCTGCCGGAGAGTGGGAAACCTAGGACTGTCACAAAAGAACCAGCCTCTGCGTTGCCTCTGCCGACCGGGGCTGCGGAGGGCAGCCACCCAGGGCTCAGCCACTGGCAGGAGTGGAGGAAGCACAGCTCCAAAGGTTACAGAATTGCAGTCCTGGATCTGGGTCCCTGCCAACTCCTGGAGAGTGAGCGAGGGGCCGTCGGGCTGTGAATGCGCTGTCTCTGGCAGTGGATGATTTCCTCATTCCTTCTATGATAGAGACTCAAATGCCTCTCAGGCCCCTGATGGTCTACAGGCAGGGTGATGTAATCCCAACGAGGGTAAGAAAATTATTCCTGCTTTTCTCCAGGTTGTAACTGGTGTTTACGTAGTCTTGTCTGCTTTAATCTTCTTTTCTCAAAGTCTAGTGGAACACCTGTTTAACAACTTGCTGCGCACCCATCACTCAGACAAAAATGCAGCGTTACAAGAACAACGAAGAGCCACCTCCGCAGCCAGACCCGGGGTCGGATCAAAACAAAAACACAGCGTTCCAAGAATAACGGAGAGCCACCTCCGCGGCCAGACCTGGGGTCGGATCAAAACAAAAACACAGAGTTCCAAGAACAACGGAGAGTCACCTCCGTGGCCAGACCTGGGGTCGGATAGCACGAAGAGCTGGAATTTGGGGAACCACTTAAGGTTGGATACATTTGGAAGGAACAGTCACACAAGATAAAATAAATATTTAGCTAAGCTTTCAGATTCTGGAACTGTCAACTAATATAACTAAAAGTCTACAACCTCTGAAAGTATAAATCCAAAAAGCATTTAAAAAATGTCAATTTTAGGAAAGGGAAACTGCAAAGCCAAAGCAGCAGAAGAACTTGTTTCTAAATCATCTGTTTTCCCGCATATCTGCTCCCATCCCCACCCTCTGCCCCACACGCCCTTCAAGTGACCAACTCCTTAGATGCGACAGGCAGTGCTTTCATTTTTCTTACCTTAACTATGCTGATAGGCTTTCGAGATAAGTGAAAACTTGCATACAGCAGAAATGTCAAAATAAAAATGAAGGCTCTGTACCTGAAACACAAAACAGTGGGAGAGGATGATACGAAATAACAGAAGTTATGTTAGGAATACATGTCACTGTGTTCTGAAATGTTCTTATGCTGTGTATTATTCATTCAGTTCCACAGCAACTATCAATATTACTTGTGTCACTATAATATTGGAACATTCAAAAATATTGCCACTTTTGCCTTGTCCACATGGAAACTAAACACTGTTAAGAGACAGGAAAAACCAGACTGCTTTTCCTACCCTCATGCACACCACACCACACACCACACTTCTCACACTATATGTGTAGGGGTTTGCGCCATATACCAAGCAATTCTCCAGCTGACACTAGGTGTCCTCTAACTGAATTCAATTCTGACGCTGTCCTTCAGAAGTCAGCATCAGCCCCCACAGGGCGGGGCTCCGGCTGAGGCTGCCCCGCCTCACATGCCAATGGCAAGCCCCAGGTTGTGGCCCGCTCATCCATCGCTCATCCATCCGAACAACTGGCTCTCAGCATGGTTCCCAAGAACCCCTCTTCAGGTTTGATTAATTTGCCAGAGCAGCTCACAGGACTCAGGGAGACACATTTACTGGTTTATTATAAAGGATGTTACAAAGATACACACAGATGAAGAGACGCACAGGGCGAGGGATGGGGCAGGGAGCTCAGAGCTGCTGTGCCCTCCCCAGGACTCCACCCTCTGGGAACCTCCCCGTGCTCAGCAGCCTGCAAGCCCCCCACACCCTGTCCTTTAGGGAGTCTGTAGAGGCCTCATTACACAGGCACAATCCAGCAGATCACCGGCCACCAGTGATCCACTCTACCTCTGCGGGCTCCCTCCCCTCCCCAGAGGTCCACAGGTGGAGTTCCAACCTCTAATCACGTGATCCGTTGCACTGGCAACCTGTCCCCCAAGAGGCCGTCCTGGAGCCCCAGCCATAGTCACCTCATTAGCAAACAAAAAGATACTCAGCACTCAGGAGCTGTGTGCTAGGAGCCAGGGCCAGAGACCAAACGCATGTTTCTTATTACGTCACAACATCAAAAACATTCATTTATTTAAAAAAACCATAACCAAAGGGAAACCTGGGACTCAAGATGCACACTTGAGTTTACAAAGCAATAACAAGGACGATGAAATGTTTAGTTTACAACAAAACTAACCACAAGTTTCTTGCATAGCCTGCTATCCTGGGCAATTAAGATCATATTTATTTTTGGCTCTTTGGTTTCTATGCAACTTTTCAGAAGCACACAAGCAAGGCAGACATATAAATATTTCACAGCCCTCAAAGAGAAAAAGTCAGTGACGCTGGCAGGCTCTCAATAGGCCAATGACAGAAACACTGGCACAAAGCCCCTCACTCAGTTTGGCTGGGAGAAAAGCAGCCAAAAGAGTAAGCATGAGTGTGAGGAAGAAAGAAGAAAAGAAGGTGCCTTAGAGAGAAGATAAAGGGCAACTCCAGTCTAAGAGTCTCAACCACCGCACAGAAAAATACTTTTTGGGGCAACAAAATGTGTTGGGAGAAAGAAGTATTTCACAGGAGCGGAAGGCGAGTGGCAGCTCTTCTGTGTCCAGGCACATCTCCCTACCCTGGAGAACCTGTCCTGTTTGTGGCCTGGGAAGACCAATGACTTCAAATGGTGCCACCAACAACCTGAATCAATAATTACCTAAGGCAGCATCCTACACAGGACAAAGACAGGCAGCGTTTCCGGGAGGCCCTGGGATAAGGGGTCGCTTCTCCCAGCTGCACATCTACATTTTTTATGTTGTGATTTACTCCGAGGGAAGCTTTCCACGAGTAACTAAAACCCTAGGATCCCAGAGCTGCCTTCTTCTCTGGTCACCAGCTAAAGTAGAGTTCAAATAGATACTTCCAGATTTTTCTTAAAAAAAAAAAAAAAAAGACCATATTTCAGGTGGGAAAGAAAGGTTGGTGGCTCTGTGGGACTCAAAACCACCACCTTTGGAATGCCTGTGCCTTAGGGGAAGGCACCGAACCAAACCAAACCAACTTGCAGAATACCTGCTGACTGAAGACAGAAATTCGCCAGCGCTCTCTTCTTCATCAGGGAACCATCTTCCAATGGCCTTTCTTCAATTCTTCCTCTCCAAGCCCATGGCAAGGGCCAAATGGGAAAAAAGTGAAACTCGAAAAGACGAGCATGTCATTTATCCCAAAGCCCAAAGAACAAAGGCTACGTGGGTACAGTGGATCTGCTCCAGAAGCCCAGGCCTCTGTCCTCGTGTTTCTGAAAACCATCCTTTCTGACAAGGAAAGAAAGTCTCAGCGCTTTGGATGAAGCTCTCTGTCAGGCCACCGCTGCTTCTCGCGCTTCCAACTGCTGGTGCAGGAAGATTCCAGGCCACTGGGCTTTACTGGCCCTCAATGCTCACTTGTCCAGCCCACAGCCTGACAAACTGGTCACTTCCACCCCACCTGCTTCAGCTGACTAGGGCAAGTAAGGCTGATGGGTGACCCTGATCAGCCCTTATTGGAGTACAGGGTTTCCTTCTCCAATGTCCTCAAAACGTGTGAACAAAGTTCTCAGGCCAAGTTCCCTCCAGCACCTCCCCAGTCAGTCTCAGACAAGTCCATGGAGCATCTCTCCTGCGCCCTTGAGGATTCTCCATCCACAGCACCAGTTCTATAGGTGCTATCACCCAGCTAGGAAGGATTTTGAGAAGAGCAGTTCTGCCCTATGGGCTGTGGGCTCACATCTCCACTCACCACCCAGACAGCCCAGAAGGAAGGCTGTCTCCCTTTGTCGGGCTGAGGTCTGAAGAGTGCTGGGGCCCCGACATCCACCGCACTCCCCATGGTCAGGGCTGCTTGGGTGATCAGGCCCTGGGGATGTGCTCTGGGCCCCTGCTTTCCTCTGCGGGATGACTCCTGACTGGTGCTCACAGCACACACCCAGAGATGCCCTGAGAACACTGAGGAGCACACAGGGGGCAGCACATGCCTCTGGAACCTTCAGTTCAGCCTTGTGTGGAGGGAGACGCCTTAATGAGTGAGCCCCTTTGGGAAGAGTCACTGCCACAGCATAGCCGGCCTGAGAAGCTGTCCTGTAGAACTGGGTAAAGGGTCCATTTACACAGGAAACTGGAATGTTCTTAAAGACTGAAGAGGAAAACCCTATATTTATTTAGCTGGTGTCAGGCCAACTCTGCTTCTATTTGCAAATTCGTCTTTCCTCCCTCATTTTCCTCATCTTCTGTACTTAGGACTTGGGGCTTGGGGATGGGGGAGGAAGTGGCTAGAGGCTGGACGTTCCTCTTTGAAAGGTCTGACTTCAGCTCCCATGGCCACTGCTACACCACAGCAGCCACACTCGGGCCGCTGCCTTGCTGGTGGTCACCCCGACACACCTGGCCTCTGGGTAGGTAGACGCTTCACTCTGCAGCATGGATGGACTCAAACTCCCAGAAGCCAAATAGCCCTCTGAAGTCCTTTCTTATTTTGTAATTCTATCTACATTTTCTTTATCGTTTATAAAGCAGATGTTTTGGATGATATTTGTTTCCTTTTATTCATTTTGTACTGGGTTGAATATCGTCCCCCATAATTACATGTCCACCCAAAACCTCAGAATGTGACCTTACTTAGAAATAGGGTCATGTAGACATGATTAGCTAAGGTGAGGGCATATTAGATAGAGTGAACCCTAATTCCAATGACTGGTGTCCTCACCAGAAGGCCACGCAAAGACTCAGAGACAGACAGAAAGGGAGGCCGTGTGGCCACGCAGGCAGAGACTGGCACGATGCAGCCACCAGCCAAGGACTGCAGCAGCAGCAGGAGCTGGAAGAGGCAAGGAGGGTCTGTCCCCGGAGCCTGCAGAGGAAGGGTTGCCCTGCTGACGCTTTGACTTTGGACTTCTGACCTCCAGGGATGTGAGAGGGTAAATTCCTGTTATTTCAAGACACCCAACTTGTGGTACCTTGTTACAGCCGCCCCAGGAGGCTAATATAATCCTTTCATTTTTGTTTTGTGTTACGTTTAGACTTATGAATATAAAACAAATACAATAAAAAAATGATCTAATCGATCTGCTCCTCAGTGTTCGGCTTACTTTTTGCAGTTATGACTACTTATAGCATGCCTGGCTTCCACCAATACAAAAAATCCCACGTTTCTAGCAAGAAAGCAGGTCTCAGCAACGACAGCATCAGACGGTGGTGCCCCTCTGAGCCTCCTCAGAGATGTTTTCGAAGACCACGTGTTCTCAGGTGGACAGCAGCCTGCTTAGGGTGAGAGGCTTCCTGCAAAATATCTGACACCTTGTTTGAGTGCTATTACCTCAATCATATGCAAATAAGGAATAAAGAAACGCTTCTGAGAATTACTGAGTGATATTTGGTGCAGAAATTAGTCCAAAGACATCCTCACTTCAGAAACAAGGAAACCAGACAGAGAAGCGATGCCATGTCCTGTTCAGAGTATCCTGTCAGGAGGCGCAGGATGGCAGTGACACTGACGTTGGTCCTTGGTTAAAGTGCTGTCTGCCTCATCGTTCCTCAGTGAAACCACTACATTTCCCTCTAAGTAATGAATATGGAATTTCTAGAAACCTGCTCTGAGATGATGTAGATATCCTGTTCCTCAAGCTGCCGCCCCACGGAGTGCATCCACTGGCGTTCTGTCCCTGCGCTGGGCACCCTGCAGTGGCTCCACACCCCCGCTCCACCTAGCAGCCAGTGTCCACTGTACAGAGTGCGTGCATTTCTCCTACTTACTCAGTTACATCAGTAGGACTCGCCAGAGTCTTATGCTATTCAATGGGCTATCATTCACAGTGAGTCTCATTTATTGTAAATCTCAGATTGTCCTAGATTTGACAAGTCAGAGTACCTTTGTAAGCACTTCCTTATTTTCTGGCACAAGATGTTCCGGGCTCATCTTTTCCTTGCCCTGCCCCAGTCCTGGCATTGGCCAGGTCTCTGAGGACTCCTGACTCCTCTTAGTGGGAGATGCCATGCAGAAACCAAGATCCCAGACCAAAGTGTGCT